CTTAAGCAGAAAGACTTCTCTATGGCTTTAGAAGGACTTTGCCAAGAGGCCAACTAAAGCTGACAATCATATGGAAAGCAAGATATGAAGACCAATCCTTGAAGAACCACAGCAGATAAATGCTTTCCATGATTGAGTGCACACGGGTGGGAAGATAACTTTCCTGCCATAATAATGAATTAAGACGTGCGTGACCTTCAGTGAATTTGTAGTTCAGATTTCTATTGATTGCCACTCTTCTCCAGAATGTTTTTCAGTAATTCTATTTCTACCACTACTTTTCTTTTTCTCTCGCTCTGCCTATATCTCTTCCACCCCACTTTGCCTTTCCACCCCTTTCTCCCCCCCCCTGTACTACATCATCCGGAAATAATACATTCTTTTGATGCTTCAGGCTGAAATTCTTGCCTGCCATGCTTCTCCATGGCAACCTGCAGGGAAGGTTAATTGATTTGGGGGAAAGTGTGTGTTTCCTTCATGCTGACAGTAAGGACTGACTGGAACATGCTCTCTCTTACAGTATTATGCTTACCAAGACCATCAGGCAATCAGCGTGGCTTTTAGTGTATGGAAATGCTGGTGTCATTTCTCCACACCCATTCGCTGTCCCCCTCCCCCACCATTTCTTCCCACTATTTCCTACACACACACACACCCCGTTGCTCACCATCATTCCTGCAGAATTCACAAAAAGGGCAAAATCCAATATATGTTCATAAAGGGTTCAACTTTCTGCCTCTGTTTGCTCCTCTTCGGTAGCTTTCTGGTTTATCAGCTCCAGTGTATTTAATAGATTCAGTCTTTCGCTACAAGCTGAAGAAGTCAGTAAATGAAACTGAAGGAATTGTGCCATTACTATTCCTCCCTTGTTTACATTGGTGTCACACTGAAATGCAGAGTATGGGAGAAAATTCTGATTTCCACTACTCGAATGAAGCTGCAGCCAGCATATAGATTACCATTAGATAAGGCATGTGCAGAAGTCTAATGTGCACATATAGCGAGAAGTCCCAAGTACTTCCCAGCATGCAAATATACAATGAAATTCATGCATGTACAGGTCCAACTTGATTCCTGCACACAGATGTTCTTTTCATGATGGTATTTTGGCAACAAGTATAGGGTTTTTTTAAGTAATTCAAACAGATGGAGATAAAGAAAGTTGTTTTAATTGCCCATCTAAAACTGTGTATTTTGTTGTCTAATTTAAGCTCAATCTAACATAGCCAAGAGGGCCTCAGTTATGTTAGAAATAGTCAGTGTTTCATGTATTCTCTAAGGCACATGAAGACATCATGCTTGACAAGCCTGCGCATGTGACAAAGTCTATGATTATTATTTGTGGGATTTTGTTTTCATTGGTACCATAAGATAGATTCATTTGAAAGTTATATCAACTTTTATTTTCCAGAAGCATGTGTTACTTCTTTCTTCTCCCACTTTTGCTTGTAGGAGTAGATGCTTTTCATTATTATTATTGTGTATTAAACCAGATTCAGCTCCCCCAATGGTAGAAATTGTTCATGCAGAAATACTTAAGTCCTGTATGAAATCATGAAATTAAATTTAACATTGAAATTCAGAGATGTCCTCATTAAAGACTGTATTTCTTGAATATATGAGCTAGGTTGCCATTTTCTTTATGTCTTCTCTCTAAACTGTCTTTCAATAATTCTGTTTTTACACTGCCAACTCAAGACATATTTGCAAGACCAGTCCATCCAAGTTCATCATAAAAGAAGTGGACTCTGACCTGTAATTAACCTCATCTTTTCAACAAATGCAGAGAAGACTTAGAGAACATCATATGCCAATTTATGTTCACCCTCCAGCTAGCCAATAGGAGACATCAAAGGTTTTGCGATCATCCACTGTAAAGTAACAAATACCACCAGCTCACATATCCTCCATAGAAAAAGGAAATAAAATAAATTGCCAATGTCCCTTTCTTGTCCCTACTTTCCAGAACTCATTTTTTTTGGGGGGGGATATTTGTCTGGTGGCTTGCAGGCAGATCTGCTGAAAAAAATGTCACCAAAAAGACTGAAATCCTTGAGGAGTGTTTCAGCACCATTATTGCTGCCCCTCTCCAAAAGAGAGCCAGTCTGCCGTAGTGGTTAAGCACTAGGCTAGAAACCAGAAGACCATGGGTACTAGTCCTGCTTTAAGCAGGAAGCCAGCTGGGTTATCATGAGGCAGTCGCTTACTGGAGACAAGGGCAAAGCATTTCTGAAAAACCTTGCAAAGAAAAATGCAACCCGTAGTCATCAGGTTTCAAAATCATTGGTCAGCTAGAGAGTACATTGGTCAGTCAGGTATAAATATGCATCCCTCTTCTTGTCTATCATTTTGTTTGGTTCTTAAATTATCAGAAGTTTCACAATCAGGGTTGGCTGCAAAATCATCAAGGCACTATTCCACTAAAGCAGAGGGAAAGGGAGGGGGAAGCATTTTACGTGTGTGTGCGTGTGTGTGTATGCACACACACACACACACACACACACACACACACACACATACACAATTGGGGCCGCAAGCATGTGCACCTCATTTTTGCTGCATGGACACTAGCACTGCCCCATTTTTGCCATGTGGCACTCTGTTTTCTCCACATGGCACCCTGTTTGTGTAGCAGCATGAGTGGGGGTGAGTGCACGCACATGTGCACGCACTGGCCAGCCTGTTCCATGGCCCGGTGGCCAGGAGGCCACAGCCCAGTAGTGGGCCGTGGCCCACAGGTTGGCGACCCCTGCACTAAGGTACAGTTCATGTGCTCAAATTATTAAAACAGCAGAAATGATGGTATGGATGTAAGCAACTGGGCCTTTACTGGGCATTAAAAACATTTTTAAAATGTAATGAAAACTATCTTTTCTCCATGTTCTAGCTCTCCCTCTTAAGGCTTTTCCAAAAAGGCTGTTGACGGTAGTATGAATGGCAGCATGCCTCTGAATACATAGGTCATTTCTCAAAATGAAGGTTGTGAGACAATCAATTAACAGTTGTTCAAGAGTTCCTTCCAAACAAATGTTTCCGAACAGGCTTGCTAATTTGATGCAGAAGCATGCTGAATGCAAAGCAGGTGACCCTGTATGAAGCTTCTGCATATTCCTACTGCAATGTTTGCCATTCAAAAGAGGAGTACATGTAATTATGCCAGGGGAGCATGAAGATTCTGTACAAAGCTCTATAGGACGAATGTATAATGGAGGGAAAAGTGGGAATGTTGAGAAGATTGAGAAGGAAGTTCCAGGAGTGGATGAGGGATTTACAAGTTATAGAGTTGAAGGGAAAGAGCAGTTGGGCTGTGACCTTTATCTCAGTGTGACTGTGCTGGGAGACACAGGGTCAAAAGCCATTTACAACTTGCTTGGGGTTTTGCAAGCTGCAATATTTTAAGAATAGTTAAAGAGAATCCAATGCAAGGCAAGGAAAAGCTTTTTCTCTCCCCGCTCCCCATACCTCACAAATTTGGTAAATTGAAGTCTGTAATCTTCGAAATGTAAGCCAAATGTCAGGAATTATGCAAAAGTGAGCAAGCTCATCTTTACCATTAAAATGATCATTTTATTTCATGCCCGTATCTAATGCAATAAAATCATATTTTCCTCCCATGGAGTGACTCAACCATATTCATGTTATTATGAATTATCATCTGGCTCCAAACACTAAACTACTTCCCAAAGAATGGCTTACAACTGAAAAAAAATGTTTTTTTGCAAAATGTTGGTCATTGTTTTGTAAAAAATGGGCAATAATACAAACATAGAATTCAATACATCTGTGAAGTTATTATATCTGAGATCATTCCGAGTATCTTGATCCAAGATTTGGGTCTAATCCTAGCATATTTGATATCAAAAACATATTTCATCACAGCCTCTCAGTTGTAAATAGATGAATTAATAAATTTCAACTCTTCTGTGTATAGCACTATTTATATTGCATTTTTAAAGTTTTGCTGATATTAACAATTCTGTATTCCATATCTCTCCCCACATTTATATTCAATAGAAAAACCCATATTTTTTTCTTCATAGAGACCAATGTTCCGTTTCCCCTTTATGGGAAAAAAATAGATTTTGATAGCATACCTTTCAAACAGGTTTTAGATTACTTATTTTCTCCAATATGTGGATTGTGATATTTTATCTATCTTATTGTTTGTTTTTCAAATTTGCACCTATGCCCTCCCCAACAATGCCAGCTGCAGCAGTTGGACAATAATAAAACTATATCATATCACAACTAAAAAATACTCTGGTACTAACTTAAATGAGATTCAGCTTCTAAAATTATTTTTTCAAATTAGGTTTAAAGGTAATCAAAGTGGGTAAATAGTATAAGTCATTAATAGAACCCTGTAGCTATTTTTTGAAACCCAGGATAAAAAGCATAATCCATATAATTCACTACGATAAAACTTAGAGGCAAAATGTATATAATTGGCACTAGTTTTATGATGTCCAAGCAGGTTCAGTGCAGGTACAACTTGGTTTGGACCCTAATGTGGTAGAAACATGTGAAGCTGCCAGTTTATAGACTGTGCTGGAGATGAGCTGAAAGAGGCCAGGCTTCTAAGTTTAGTGATAACTAGATTAAATTAAGCCATGAGTTAGAGGTGAAACTGTTAGATTGACTGAATAAACATTTTGACAAAATTGATTGCTTAGGCAGTCTTCTTCAACATGTGTCTCCTGTGTCTGCTGGACTGCAATAATTATATTTTCCAGCTGATAAAAGTGTATTCAGGTTGTAATTCAGCACATCTGGATTGCTTCAGCTGGAAGAAAAGTAGCTTTGGGGCATTTGAGGAGTCTGCTGTTTCTCAATCTGAAAGCTGCTAAAAATTGTCAAACGAATAAATCCTCAAAGATACGCTGCTGTGAGCTTGCTGAACAAATGATGCTATGATATACACATAGTGCTATATTTCATGTTTCTGGATGAATGCATGTTATGTGTTGTTGTTAATTTTAGTCTCTTTCTGTTTCCTGCAGGAATATCTCAATGTCCTAGGAAGGCCCATGGTCTTGGCCGGAAACAAAGCAAAGCAAGTTCAGTGGACCAATGTCTATCAGGATGCTTTGGTAAGGAAAACAACTTTATGAAATATTGTAACCAGCTTTTTTCCACTTTCATTTGCTTGTGTGGTTTATACATTGTAATATGGTTCAAATTAGTATTTAGTATTCAGTATCCCTTCAGATTCCCAAACCTGTTAATCTTGAGATGGTTTCTTGTCCCCATTTTCTTCTGGATCAAAGTCTAACTGCTTCACTCTTCAATATTATGAGTTAGAGATGCTATTATAATTATGAATTGGCCAGTTACGGTCTTACAGTTAATGCCATATTTGACTTTTGTTGTTGTTGTTACTTTTTTAGGGCCTGGGTTTGGTGATAACAGGCACTTTGCCTGTATTTAACCTCACTGAAGATAGTCAGTCTCGTGGGAGCAGTGAATGGAAGGTATGTTCCTATGTTGCAAGAAGCTGCCACCGTAATCATATTAGGTGGCTGTTGTTATCCCCTCATCCCCTTTGCTTTGTGCACGTGCTCCACAGAGAATCCACAGTATTCCTTGATTTATCCCTTGGTTTTCAGTCAAGTAGCATCCTCAACTGAAAATCATCTTTTCTTGAAATTGGCTCTGAATTGTTATCAAATCTTCGAAATGTATTTTGGGGGATAGATGGACAGACAAAAGATAAGATGCTAAATAGATACAACAGCCTTTTCCAATGGGGTGCCTACCAGATATAATTGAGAATTCTGGGGATCATAGTTCAGCACACATGGAGGGCACTATGTTGGAGAAGACTGGGATAGAGACATGCCACTTTTCCTGGGACTCCACTTACAGTACTGATAGTAAGCCAGCAACCAACCAATATTCATACGCTAAAAAGAATACACTTAGATTCCCAAACATTTTTGTATAACAAAACTGTAAATAGAAGTGTTTCTTTTCTAAACATATTTAGTATCAGTAATATCCCATAATATCATTTTGAAGGTACGGTATATCTTGTATCAGCAAGTAATGGAGAATGTTCTCTTACATATGTTGAATGAATTGGTGCTGCAGTATAGGAAACAAAGAAAAAAAATACAATAGGCAAAAATAATACACCAAGAAATTGTCCTAAACATTTATAATCACAGTTTAGGGGCAATTATGAGGAGGGAATGTAAAAGTATATAAGCATATAAATGATGTTAAATCTGTCCAGAATGGCAAACATGTGAAGGAATATTACTACAATCGAGTAAGACAAAACTCTCCCATTTCATTCATCCATAATTTCAGCTTACATTGCTGGTAAATTAAATTATCCTTTCACACCAAACCTAGATATTGACAAATATCTATATGATTCCATACATTTGATAACATGGGTGTTGGAATACAAGCAAATTACTGAGCAGAATTATGTTTATTTCATCATTAATGTAAGCTGAATTTTTTATTTAAATAGGAAGAGTTTAATTGTATTTATTAAACTTGTACTGAACTGAAATTGAACTCTTTGAGATGCTTCTTAGGATATATTTGGCCTGTGATGCATTTTGTTTATTGAGCGAAAAGCCAAAATTGTGTATTATTATTATTATTATTTTAAATTTGTATTCATAATACAATTAAAACAACAATGGACAAACATGACATTCCAGAGTGAATTTTCCTATCAGTTCCTATCATAGTACAAAAGTTTAATACATTGTTCTTAACCTCTATATAAGTCTCATCTTCTATACAATGCAATTATATATACAATTATATGTACAGTTATGTATATCTTTTAATTCTACCATTAACTTGAAGTCCGAGCAGTTCTTAATTCATACCAACGGTAAAATTTGCCCCAGATTTCAAAGTATTCGTGTTCTGTTTTGTCTTTCATAATCATTGTAAGCCTGTCCATCTCAGCACGTGATAGAATTTTATGTAGGATTTCTTCTTCAGTTGGAGTTCCCTTATTCCTCCAATTTTGAGCAAAATGCCTGTGATGCATTTTGTTTATTGAGCGAAAAGCCAAAATTGTGTATTATTGAAATAGGAGAGATTCTATATAGGCCTAAATGCTATTGCTATTGCTATCCAACTTAGAGTTAATTGTTGAAATGGTGAAGTGTATGAATTTATATATATATTAGGATATGTACTGTGAGTAATATTTTATGCCTATTTTACTGGTTCTCCTCTGCTGTGGCATCACATTGAAGAGAGTCTTCAAAAAACTATGGCAATGTTATAGAGAGCAAGTAATGATCTATTAAAAATACACTTGGACCAAAATTATTATTATTATTAGTAGTAGTAGTAGTAGTAAAGTTGGAAGGGACCTTGGAGGTCATCTAGTCCAATCCCTTCCTCAGGCAGGAAACCCTATACCATTTCAGACAAATTGCTGTCCAGTCTCTTCTTAAAAACTTCCAGTGTTGGAGCATTCACCACTTCTGGAGGCAAGTTGTTCCACTGGTTAATTGTTCTAACTGTCAGGAAGTTTCAAGGTTGCTTCTCTCCTTGATTAGTTTCCACCCGTTGCTTCTTGTCCTGCCTTCAGGTGCTTTGGAGAATAGCTTGACTCCCTCTTCTTTGTGGCAGCCCCTGATATTGGAACACTGCTATCATGTCCCCCCTCATCCTTCTCTTCATTAAACTAGACATACCCAATTCCAGCAGCTGTTCCTTATATGCTTTACCCTCCAGTCCCCTGATCATCTTTGTTGCTCTTCTCTGTACTCTTTCTAGAGTCTCAACATCTTTTTTACATCGTGGTGACCAAAACTGGATGCAGTATTCCAAATGTGGCCTTACCAAGGAATTGTAAAGTGGTATTAACACTTCACATGATCTTAATTCTATCCCTCTGTTAATGCAGCCTAATGCAGAAGCTTCACCTAGTACAGAATGCAGCTACATGGGCAATTCTGGCCGTGCAAAGAAGGACACATTTGGTCCCAGTTTGCTTCTGGCTTCAGTTCAAGGTGTTGGTTATGACCTATAAACCCTACATGGCATAGGGCCAGGCTACCTACAGAGCCATTTTTGTCCCATTACATTAGCACATCCCATCCAGTCAGGCAGGGAAGGAGTGGACACCGTCAGTTAAAGAACTCCAATTGGCAGACCTAGGAAGAGAAGTTCTCTGCCATTGTGGAATATTGTACACCCCCCACCAAGATGAGATGGCCTCCTAGCCTTCCAAAAAGGAGTCAAAACCTGGCTCTGTGGCCTCTCATGGGGAGCCCAAAGGAGTCACGTAATAATAACAAATAATATTATTGATGATTTTATTAATGCAGCAGCATAAATGCAGTGGCTATATATTCATATACTTTATCACTCTATATGGCAAGACGAGCAAGTGCCATTAAATAGATCACACATTTCTTTTTCTCCCCAGTGGGTAGATTCACAGCATGTCTACAGCAATCTGTCTCATCTGCATTATGCTCCTACATCCCTACTTGTTCAGATTTATTAGCAGCAATAGATCTGCCATGGCATTCTATGTCAGCTTGCTTTTCAGCAGGCAATGATCTGTTTCCCAACTAGGTAAGTGACAAGGCCAAAGACCAAGCCATTTATTCTCCAGGGAGCCTAGTTATGGCTTCATAAAGCAGCATGGCAGCTCCACTGAAATGAGCATCCCATGCTGCGCCATTTAGTCGTTGACACGGTGGCTTCTTGCAGGTGTCTTTTTAAAGAAAAAAATGTACTTTTCTTTACAAGAACCCAATAAAGGTTGGCTATGCATTTTCATCAGTCATTGGAAAGGGTCTGGTTTCTCCAATACTCTGGTATGACTCCCAGGATTAATGTGTTTTATGCCATAGCTCAGAAAACCTAGGTGCAAAATGTCCAGTCCTCTTGAAGGACAATGCTGAGAATCAGATATTCCTTTTGAATTTGAGTTACAAGTTGTTCTTTAAATCTCGCCAAGCCTGGCTACATGTACTCCTTAAAGGGTGAACATTGCACATAAGAAATTCACTTCTAGTCTGCAATTTTCTCTGGCTCTTCCTTGCAAGCCTCTGATAAAATATTACCGAAGGATATTGATATTGGTAGATGCCATTAGATATTTCAATCATCGTTCACACAGAAAGGGAGTGTAACAATCCTCTCCAGATTTTTCAGGCATCTAGTATTCCGGATCTCTCTTTGTTTTCCACAATGTAACCTTTTTTATTGTTGTTAATTGCAAAGTCGTGCCTGACCCATCGCGACCCCATGGACAATGTTCCTCCAGATCTTCCTGTCCTCTACCATCTTCTGGAGTCCATTTAAGTTCACACCTACTGCTTCAGTGACTCCATCCAGCCATCTCATTCTCTGTCTTCCCATTCTTCTATTGCCCTCAATCTTTCCCAGCATTAGGCCCTTCTCCAGTGAGTCCTTCCTTCCCATTAGGTGGCCAAAGTATTTGAGTTTCAACTTCAGGATCTGGCCTTCTAAAGAGTAGTCGGGGTTGATCTCTTCTAGGACTGACCGGTTTGAACGCCTTAAAGAGAGGGAATAAAATATAAATACATTTATAATGTTGTAAAGATTGGAATCCATTTCTTTATGTTATCACTTTTCTATCATTTCTGTCTTATTTATCACTTTTCTTTGACTTTTTTCTCTTTTCTTTTCTTTAAATATTTTTAAAGAAAACCTAGCAGACAACTTTGTCTCCCAAAAAGTAGAGAAGGGAACGAGGGGATTAGCCATATTGGACCTAATTCTCATTAACAGGGATGAAATGATAGAAGGTGTTGAAGCCACAGGAACCTTGGGGGGGAGTGATCATGCAATATTGGAATTCAACATTATGCAAGCACAAGCATGTAGAACACAGTCAAACTAGAGTCTTGGACTTTAAGAGTGCGAATTTCAATAAACTTAGAGAGAGCTTGGGAAGAATTCTATGGATGAGAATCCTCAAGGGGAAAACAACTCAAGAAGCTTGGGAAATTTGAAAAGTGAGATAATAAAAGCTCAGTCTAGCACAATACCAGTGAAGAAGAAAAATAACAGTTATCAAAAGAAACCAGCATGGCTGCATAAAGAACTTTCTGATAAATTGAAAGACAAAAAAGATAAATATAACAAGTGGAAAGAGGGGCACATAACTAAGGCAGAATATCAGCAAACAGCCTGAGCCTGCAAAGATGAAGTGAGTAAAGCTAAGATTCAAAATGAACTAAGGCTTGCGACAAAAGTCAAAAATAAGTCAAAAATAACAAAAAAAGCTTATTTCAACATGTAAGTGACATTAATTAATTAAATTAATATGGACAGCCATTTGTCTGAAATGGTAGAGGGTTTCCTGCCTGTATAGGGGGTTGGATTAAATGACTCCAAGGTCCCTTCCAACTTTACTAAATATAATATAATAATAATAATAATAATAATAATAATAATAATAATAATAATAATAATAATAATCTACTTAGAAATGCTTATGCAGACAGTAAAACACCATGACATAATGTTCCTACATTTGAAAAGAACATACAGTTCAAATTTGTACTGGAGCAGAGGTGTTTAAACTTGGAGCAGGTGCTCCATGACTTGGACTTCTCTAAAGAAAGCTATCCCCTTATTCTAAACTGAGCTGACAAGCCCTGTAGGCATCAATAGCAATAGCAGTTAGACTTATATACCGCTTCATAGTGCTTTACAGCCCTCTTTAAGCAGTTTACAGAGAAAGCAAATTGCTCGCAATAGTTTGGGTCCTCATTTTATCAACCTTGGAAGGATGGAAGACTGAGTCAACCTTGAGCCAGTCAGGATCGAACTCCTGGCTGTGGGTAGAGTTTAGATGCAATACTACATTCTAACCATTGCACCACCATGATTTCTTACAACAAATGTGACAAAGCTCATTCATGGTTGAGATATCTGGTACTATGTGTCCTCCAACTCTGTTCAGCATTAAACAGACAGACATTCAGTTGTCTAAATATTGTGATATTTTACACTTTCTCTTGCTATAAGAAGGGTTTTGGAAATTCTTTGACAGCTCACAGATTATCTTACATCCAACCCCCTTCAGGAAATCAACACATCTTCTCCCAAATACTAAAGCAAAATTCATCTTGTGAAATACTAAATTCATCTTGTGAAAACGTGTTGATATTTCTGTTAGTTTCTCGTGTATACTAGAAGTATTGTCCACTTCTAGTTTTTGAACAATTTAATTGTAAAATGTAAAAGTATATGAGTTGATTGTTATATACTAACTAGACCAATAAATTCTGTGGAGGAAGTAGGCATGGCATATTCTATCCTCCTCCTCCAAATCAATCACCTCCAGATGTGCCGGATTAAAATTCCTGGAATTCCCTGTCAGGACTACTCAAAGAGTGGTTGAAAGCTGCCTTAGACATTAACAGTAGAAATTAATAGAGTCTGCATCTCGACTTGCTCAATTTCAAATAACAGAATAATGAATGATGTAATGAATGAAACTGTCATTGTTTTTTATGTATTTTCAGAACCAGCTCATCCTGGGTGTTGTGGGGATTGATGTGGCTCTAAATGATATCAAGAAGCTGACACCACGATACAATGTGAGTAGGGAAGATGTTCTGTTCATCAAACTCTGTCATTTAAAAAAAGGAAGCAGGATAGGAAGAGGGGTGTTAGTTTTCCTAGGAGCGTCCTCCCTAAATTCTCTACTTCGCCCCCAAACCGTCTTTCATCTTTTTGATGATGATCACTGAGGCAAACTGAAATCCCTTCCTTTCATTTAGAAAATGTGATGGACCTTTATTCTCTGCTTGGGTTGGGTATTAGATAAGCAGGAGGTGACATGGAGTATCATGGTAAAGAAGCTTTGACGCAACTCCATTCTGTCCTTTTGGGATGTAATCTGTTTCTCTTCAGGAGGATTTTCCTTTCTTTTTTGTCTTTCCATCCAGTTGGGGGCTAATGGCTATGTATTTGCTATTGACTTGAATGGATATGTATTGCTACATCCAAACCTGCGACCTCTGGTAAGAATACTTTTGGGCATGTGAATGGGTATTCAAAATCATTGCAAAAAATATGTAGTCATTTATTCCATCGTGTTAGCAGCAACCACAAAATAGAAAGTCAATTTTTGCTCTTTCTTCATTTTTTATCATGATGAGCTCTTCCATTTTTTTCCCTGAACTGACTGCAATAAGCTTGTCGTCTTTCATTTTTCCTGGAAAGATATTCTTGCTGTTATGTGGATACTATGCCTGTCTAAAGGTGAGTATCTCGTACTGCCTGGATTGGAATTAATGAGTTGGGTGGAAATGTTAATGGTGGCAATTTGCCATTATACTGAAACCGTATGTGAACAGCTGTCACAAACAAGTGCACCACTCACATTTTAGCCACCTCTGAGTCACTGATTGACCACCATATGCCACCATCTGGCCAGAAAGTGAGCTTGGCAATTGAAAAGATCAGTTCTCCTGTTCTGTAGAATGTATAGCTGCATATACTTATTATTGACTAATAATCAAAGCTTGGCATAAATGTTTATAATGGATATGTGAAATGTAGCACTCATAAATTATCTGGCCCAAAACGTTTTAACGAATTAAGCATCATATTTTTTCACCTTCACTGTGACTTTGTGAACTCTCCCATCACTCCTTCCAATCTATCTCTTTCATTCTTTGCCCCTTTGATGTTCATTCCTTTACATTCCTAGAACCTTGGGTTTCAACTTCCTGCATTACTTTTTTCTCTAATCTAGTCAGGTGTGAAGCTTTTCTTCCAGAAAATTCATCTTTCCCTATATCCATAATAGCAGAACAGACTTGCAAAGCCTGTCTTTCACCAGAGAGGGCCAACAAACACTCTTAGGTTGTATTTGCAACCCTTGGGATGGTTTTCATGTAATCTTGAAATCCACACATCATTGTCACCAAATCTGATAGTACAGTTTGCTGCAAAAAAATTTAAAAAGAAACAGTAGTGAACTTTTGCTTTTCACACTTTAAATCCTTTTACAAGGCTTAACATTTTCAGCACTTTAAAGTTTGTCAGATTTCTTGGTTTATTGCTTAGCTATTTTCAGGGTGGGGGATGGGTAGAGGGAGATAGTTGTATCTAAAATGTTTGCCTTGGCCCTCCTCATTCTTTTGATTTAGCTTTGTTCTTCTTGGGAGCCTTGCCCAATCAGCTTTTGGCATGGAGCCCCATGCACAAAGACAAAGTATGGCGTCATTGACTCAAAAAAAGATTTAACTATTAAATGCATTATAATGTCGATGAGCATTATACCTGGCGAGATATTTTCAGTGTTTAAATTAGAATTGCAGCCAAAGATTTAGCTAATTACATTAACATTAAAATGTGTAATTTATCCTTTTTTTAAAAAAAGTGGGATTTTGAGGCTATAATCTTACGGATACTTCCCAGGGACTGAGCTCAATTTGACTTTGCTGGATTAAATGTGAAGATATACATAAGACTGCATGATGATAGTATTTTCCCCAGCTAGTTGTCCCATGAACACATTTGCTCATAGGTGTCAAATACAAGTCAGCCACTGCAGCGTATGCTAAACATGGCAATCCTTGAAGGAGTAGTTACCTCAAGTAAACACACAGGGACGACCTGCTTAATTTCCTCAGCAACAAAGTGAGAAAAGATAGCCAATTTGAGAATATATATTAGACAGGAACTGCACAATATCTGCTTATCAGTTAGCCATAGCAGAATTATGGTGTTTAACTGAATTAGGAAATATAGAAGCTCTCTCTATGGTGGAATCTGCAGTGGAAGTTCCATAATATGCACATCATGTATGAATGACAAGAGCTACTGAACTGAACCTTCAGTTAGTCATTCCCTTTGTCTTTATAAACATGGTTGTTCTAACTTACTGGCATTGATAAAAACTAAGGATGTTGGGCAGTGTGAAATTCAGATATTTGGGATTTAAATAATTGTTTTGGCTGCAGGGTGGGATTCATTTACTGTGGCCAAATATGCTCATGTGCTTCAAGTGGAAGAGAAAATATGTTGTTGAGAGTCATTAGCTCATCTTGACAATATAATATATGTATTTCTCTTTCTTTCTTAGCAAATATAGGAAAGAATTAGCTAGGCCATTTTATGAAATATTACTTGTTCGGGGGTATTAACCAAAAGAAAAGGAGTGGATGAAAGCCTTAGGCTAATTTATCTAAGAAGTTCTGCAATCATCAGAATGGAGCAAAAAGAACAGGCTTCTAGCTCAAATACTAGTCAGATAAATCTGTCATTGAAAGGGCAGCCACAAATTAAGGAATTGAAAAATGACATTAATCAGAATGAAATACATTTCATTGGCAGAAATTTCCAGCTCAGTTCATCAGCCTTATTAACAGGCAGATGATGTGGCAGAGATGGACAGAAACCATAACAGTTTATTTAGTCACTTCACTATGACCCTGATCAATAATAGTTCAAATTATTCAGCACAATAAAATCACCCAAGGAACAGCCATAATTCCCTGTGTTTTTGTACGTGTCTGGCTTAAATCCAAACAGCTTTCATAACAATGCCTGTCTTTAAGTAGTACCTTGTTCTTTCAACCCTAGTCATAAAACATTATTTTGGCATATGAGTAGAATATATCTTTCTGGACACTTGAGAATTTAATTAATTTTGAATGCTTCCAAATAACAATGCCAAGTTCCTATTTTTTTCATTAATTAATTGATTGATTCAAATGGCATCCAGACTTACATTTGATGGAGTAAAGTTTGAAAAGTGACTAGTAAAATTTTGTCCTGGTAATGTGGTAGAACTCTATCCTAACTTCACACCGTTGATGTCTTGTTTCATTTTTGCATTTCTTCCTGCTTAGAAATCGGATTACATTTGTACATAAAGAATGTTTAGTACACTAAAACTTGGTTTGGAACTTTCAAACCAATAAAAGCAGTTTTTTCTTTGACATCTTGGTATTAAGTGCTGTGTTAATATCTTTTATTACAATAAATTAGTTACGCACAAAATGGAAAAGATTCTAGCAAAGCTTTTCTTGGCCATATGTATTCTTTCTGACAAACTCATTTTTTTTGTTACCTCTGCTCACTGATGAACCATTTTCATTTATTCTAGGCATTTCATTTCCACCACATACCACTTCTATCACACTCCACAACTTTCAGTTCCAATAGGTATATAAGATACAATAAATAAATATATTCACATTATTATATGCCTTTTATAAATCAATAAAAGTGCAATATAATTTCTCACTTAAATTCATGATTTCTAGCGACTGCTGAAGAATCAAATTGATTCTGCACATACCCTAAAGCCCTACTACGCTCCTCAAATTTTGTCTTGTCACTACCCCATCCTTTCAGTGTAAATTCCACTGAAAACCCTCCCAGAAACTGTTGAGGGTTTTTTGTTTTTCTGTTTTTTTACCTGCCTGGTGGGGGTTGACAAAGACCTTTTTCTAAGCAAACACTTTTGAAACAATCATTCACATACACACATCCCTGCCATATGCTCTGGTAGGTCCAGAAACAGTTTTAGATCCAGAGTCTCTAGCTTTCTGTTGTAGTCCAGATTGATCAAGAGAGGGGACTAGAACAATTCGCTGCAGCCAACTTACCACAGCCAACTCACCACAGGACAACTTGTCATGGCCAACTCACTACAGAACAACTCACCACAGGACAAGAATTACAGTAATATTTAAAAAATGGTGGCATAGAATCCTTAAAGAAAGGATACCGGAGGAGGAACAAAATGAAATGTGAATGACAAAAATTAAAATATTTTTTTAAAATTATTTTAAATAATTAAATTGAATTGTTGAATTATCCAGCAACAAGTTGCCCTACCACAACCATGGTGAGTTGGCCGTGGCAATTTGGCTGCAGCAAGTCGGCAATGGCAAGTTGGCCATAGCGAGTTGGCCATGGCAAGTTGGCCATAGCGAGATGTCCCATTCCAACGGAGAGGAGTCTCTCCCTGCTGTGGAAGCCTTGAGAAAAAAATTTCTGGTTAACATACCCTCAGTCATCCAGCAAACCATTTAGTGAAGAATATATATGCCGGGCTTCAAGAAGTCTCACAGTGAGTCAAGGATGCAAGCTCTTGATAAGTATATTGACTGCAAAACCTAGAAATAAAGAAGAAATCTGGCAATTATCAGGGCTTAGCTACAAGCCCTATTTATAATAGAAGCAAGGTTCAATTTTTTTAACTTCTTTTTTCTGCCAGTGTGGCATAATGGGCTGAGAATCTCATATCTTTTGATGGGGGAAGCCATTAACAGCTCTGCATTGTTATTATAATGAAATAGTCTAGTCTTGTTGAGTGCTTCTGATTTGGCCTTTATAAGACACCATGCATTTAATCATCCATTCTTCACATCATTTCTATCCTGGCAAATCAACATACCTTAGTTTGCCTACTACTAAGCAAACTATTCGGAACATAGGATCCAACAGATATAACGAGATATTAAGGTAAGGTTATATTGTTAATAGGGGCAGCATGATGACGCAGTGGTTAAGACACTGGGCCTATCAGCTGAAAAGCCAGCAGCCCTGGTTCGAGACCTGAGTGCCATGCAATAGGATGAGTTCCCATCCTTGCCCCATCTCCTGGCAACCTAGCAGTTTGAAAGCAGGCAAATGCGAGTGGATAAATAGGTACCACTTGGGTTGGAAGGTAATATCGCTCCAGGACATCATGCTGGCCACATGACTGCAGAAATGTCTTTGGACAGCACTGGCTCAATGGCCTTGAAATGAAGATGAGCACCGCCCCCTAGAGTCAGCAACAAGCAGCGGACTAAAATCCTAAGGGACTGTTTTACTTTACCTATATTGTTGATAGATTGTTTTAAAGAAGGGATGGCTTGAATCAGTTCTAAGTGTCTTACAGAAAAATAATTAATTTTACAATTAAAGCATTCTGTCCAGTTACAGCTCCCCCTACATCTAACTCTGAGATTCTTATGTGTCTATGGAAAAGTTCTATTTACTCCCAACAGCATACATTTGCATTTTGTATAAAATGTTTCAATTACAAACTGTCAGCATCTCTAATTACTGAACATCATAATTTATAACAGTATTTATACTACATATACTCTAGCCCTCCCTTAGGCATGAAATTAACTTGGTTATCTTGGGCCAGTCACTGTCTCTCAGCCCTAGGAAGAATGCAATGGCAATCCATTTCTGAAAAACCTTGCCAAAAAAAAACCCTGCAGGGACTTGTCCAGGCAGTCAGTAAGAGTCAATACTGAGTCACTGGATAGTGAGATGGATGGCATATAAATTTAATAAATAAATACTGACTTGAAAATAAAAAAAATAATATTCTGTCAAGGAGAGAAGCAACCTAGAACTAAGGAGAAACTTCCTGACAGTTAGAACAATTAACCAATGGAACAACCTACCTCCAGAAGCGGTGAATGCTCCAACACCGGAAGTTTTTAAGAAGAGACTGGACAGCCATTTGTCCAAAATGGTGTAGGGTTTCCTGCCTGAGCAGGGGGTTGGACTCGATGACCTCGAAGGTCCCTTCCAACTTTATTAGTATTATTATTATTAAGGCACAGAACAAGGATTGTTTTGACATGCTTGTTGTGAACAGGATGATAATCTTGAATTTTTATCTCATTCACACCACCCATCACTACTTTGGGGTTATTCTTTCAGATCATCAATTTTCAAGAACCTGTAACCTTGGATTTCCTTGATGCTGAATTAGAGGATGAGAACAAAGAAAGGGTAAGTGATAACAATAGATCAGCTCTGCTTTATCTGAGGCAAATACATATGTACCGTAATTATATATTTTTAAAAATTTGTATTAATGTTTATATAGTTCTCTATCAAAGACTATCAGAGTAGCCTACAACAACCCAAAAAACAAAAATGCAAGTGCTTCAAAAACTATGATAAAATTATTTAAAAACAAAAAAAGATTCTAATGACACTGTAGCAATCTTTTCTCAGTGCAGAGTAGTAAGTTTCTACAAAGTTTACTTTTACAAATCTGGGCATCAGATTTTTTTTCCTTTGGCAAACTTAGTGCTACATTGTCACAACAGGATTTTTGCAGTACTGGTGATGGCAACTTGGAATAATGTCTTTATGTATACAGGTAGTCCTCAACTTACAACAGTTTGTTCAGTGACCGTTCAAAGTTACAACGGCACTGAAAAAAGTGATTTATGACCATTTTCACACTTATAACCACTGTGGCAACCCCATGGTCATGTGATCAAAATTCATACACCTGGCAACTGATTCATATTTATGACAGGGTCCTGTGATCCCCTTTTGCGACCTTCTGACAAGCAAAGTGAATGGGAAAGCCAGATTCATTTAACAAAGATGATTAGGGGACTGGAAGCTAAAGTATATAAGGAAAGGCTGCTGGAATTGGGTATGTTTAATTTAATGAAGAGAAGGATGAGGGGAGACATGATAGCAGTATTCCAATATCTCAGGGGCTGCCATAAAGAAGAGGGAATCAAGCTATTCTCCAAAGCACCTGAAGGCAGGACAAGAAGCAACGGGTGGAAACTAACCAAAGAAAGAAGCAACCTAGAACTAAGGAGAAACTTCCTGACAGGTAGAACAATTAATCAGTGGAACAACCTGCCTTCAGAAGCTGTGAATTCCCAATACTGGAAGTTTTTAAGAAGAGACTGGACAGCCATTTGTCTGAAATGGTATAGGATTTCCTGCCTGAGCAGGGAATTGGACTAGATGATCTCCAAGGTCCCTTCCAACTTTATTATTATTATTATTATTATTATTATTATTATTATTAACTGTGTTACTAACTTAACAACTATAGTGATTCACTTAACAACCATAAGAAAGGGGCAAAATTCACTTAGCAAATGTTTCCCTTAGCAATAGAAATGTGGGGCTCAATTGTGGCTGAAGGTCGAGGACTACCTGTATATTACATAATTATTTCTTATACTTCTGTATAGTAAATTGCATATGTATGTGTATGTGCATTTATACCATAGTATGAATCATGCACGAATGCAGATCCTATCCTGTTAAGAGATTTTCTTGGGATTTGAACAGAAGAGTATAAAAAGGTAACTGTAAATGCAGTTCCTGTGTGCTACCACTGTTATCTATCCCCACCCAACTTCATAGGATTTTCTATTCTCCCATCTTTAGATTCGCCGAAGCATGATAGATGGAAATAAAGATCAACAATATATTAAGACTCTGATAAAATCCCTTGATGAGGTAAATATGTTGGACTTTGAGTCTGAACTGCCAGATTTTTTGGGGGGGGGGGAACATACTGGGAGCTGGGAGCTAGGATATGAAAAATATGACTTTCATGGAATTAAATCATTATTCCATTTGGCCAAGTCTCTTAAGACTTGCTTGGTTCCTACACCTGGTGTTAAGGTATCTGTGGAGACCCTGTTGTATCTTTTATGAATGCTGGGAGAGCTGACTGTCTGGACAGTCATCAGTTTTTTTTAACTTACATATTACAAATATTGCAAACTTCCCAGAATCTTTTTGGATTTGGGCAGTCTTAACATTTAAATTCATTATATGTAGAATGATCTCAAAAGACTTCACGGAAATTTCCAATATATTAGAAATTAACTGGAATATATGCTTCACCAGTTCCTTAATATTAATTGTGATATACATTGGTTTATTTACCATTTATTTGAGGAAGAATGAAATGTGGCCAAAAATCTTTGAAATCAGCTAATTAATGTTTTTCATAAATGTAAAGAGCACTATTTAGTCATTCATTTCTTTTGACTCTACAGAGGTATATTGATAAAGTTCCTAGAACCTATACTTGGGCACCTATCAAAAGCACAAACTACAGGTAAGGAAGTAGCCAAGAAAAACACAGTTCTTCTGTTTCTTATACCTCTTTCATAAGTGATGATTAAAAGAATACTTAGGAGAAGTACTCTTAAGAGACCCCATTAGAAGATAATGCAATTCTCTGCTGATTGGGAAAAGACACCAGAAATTCATTCTTCTCTCTCTCTCCCTCTCTCTCTCTCTCCCTCCCTCTCTCTCTCTCTCTCTCTCTCTCCCTCTCTCTCCCTCTCCCTCTCTCTCTCCCTCCCTCCCCCCCTCTCTCTCTGTCTCATGACTGTGTTCTTCAGAATTTTATCTAATGTGCCAAAGGTTTAGCGATTGGCCATAATGTCTTAATTTAAACAGATAACCTTTTAGAAGGTGGCAGCATTCAGCCAATCTTGGTTAGTTTGGGAACCTAAGCAGGGCAGGTTCTGGTGAGTACTCAGGCTGAGATCCCCTTAGGAAACCAGTATTTAAACTAAATGTGGAATTTTTTTTAAATCCCAAAAGAAAACAATGGCAAACTGCACCTATATTTTTCTAAAGAAAACTGCACAGATGTGTCCATATAAGCCATCATAAGTCAGTCTAACTTGAAAGCAACTTTACTAAGGTTGATAGCCAATATTAGCCAAAGGATTATAACGTAGTGGCTTGATCTTTGAAATTCTATATTTTTCACCGAAGTATATGTTTAGAATTCAGTAATAAAGTCTGTTAGAGTATTTTTGAGATCATCCCTTTGAAAACTGGGTCAATCACAGTACACTAGGAGAAACTCTGGTACAAGAACAATTCACATCAAACAGTGTAAGAAACGTAGTCATTGGTAGTTATTAAGTGAGTGCTTAGGAGGAGAGGAGAAGTGACCCCTTGACATTTTTGACACTTCTGCTCTAGAGATTATGATATCATCCAGCTATCATTGTGGAAATAAAAAGCCTCTTTTCCTTAATGCTATATCAGCATAGCAATAGCCGGTTGATGCTACCAATGGCTGGTGCTGAAATATACAGTGCCAGATGTTCTTTGTGGGTCCATTCATTTATATTATTATCTGTGCCCTTAGGTCTTGAAGGGTAAAAATAAAATCTGGGGGAAAGCATCCATTGATTTTTTTAAAGCATAACACTTCTCCAATGTATATATCTTCCCATTATAATATAATATTATAGGCCACACTTGGAATACTGCATCCAGTTTTGGTTACCACAATGTAAAAAAGATGTTGAGACTCTAGAAAGATTACAGAGAAAAGCAACAAAGATGATTAGGGGACTGGAGGTCAAAGCATATAAGGAAAGGTTGATGGAATTGGGTATATCTAGTTTAATGAAGAGAAGGATGAGGGGGGACATGATATCAGTGTTCCAATATCTCAGGGGCTGCCACAAAGAAGAGGGAGTCAAGCTATTTTCCAAAGTGCCTGAAGGCAGGACAAGAAGCAACGGATGGAAACTAACTAAAGAGAGAAGCAACCTAGAACTAAGGAGAAACTTCCTGACAGTTAGAACAAATAACCAGAAGAACAACCTGCCTCCAGAAGTGGTAAATGGTCCAACACTGGAATTTTTTAAGAAGAGACTGGACAGCCATTTGTCTGAAATGGTATAGGGTTTCCTGCCTGAGTAGGGGGTTGGACTAGATGACCTCTAAGGTCCTTTCCAACTTTATTATTACTATTATTATTATTATTAATCATAAAATGGAGCTACTTATTATAATATGAAGATTATATCATGTTTGAAGTCTGCAACCAGAAACTGTTAAGTGAGGCTGCCATCTAGTGTATTATTGTTTATTGTAAATATACATATTCCTCTAAAATTTTCTAGGAAACCAATTTATCACTTGATGGCTCAACAAATAGCCAGTTGTTTCTAATCCAGCTATCTGAGAATCGTGCATAGAATAAGAAATATTTATGTCTGACATGAATTTATGTTTCAGAATGAAGTCTTGATATGGTATGGCAAACAGACTCTCCTGGGAAAGACATTGTAAACTTAACTTCCTCAAATCTTCATTTCTAATTCTGCTTCCAACAAATGTCCTTTAAAGATACTGGTTTTATTCTTAGCTGTATTTCATTCCTGACAAAGACAGACCATTCTGAGATTCAGTCTTGTATAACATCAGTTCATTAAACGTTCCTGGGACAATTTGCAACATCCAACACTTTCATACAAGTCTTAAGACAGGTGTTCCCAGTCCAGTTCCTTCCAGATATATCAGTCTTCAGCCCTGATGATCTCGCAAGCCAATTTGTTGCCGTAAATTGTGGGTGTCAAACTCGCTGCGTCATGTGACGTATCACGACATATCGCGGCTTTTTTTGCACTGCCGGAGCTAGGGTGGGCACGACCTCCATATGATGCAACCAACCGGCCCACAGGCCAGCAGTTTAACATCCCTGCTGTAAATCTTCAGTTACTGTCTTCTATTCAGACTGTTTTCATCACCAGCGCAGCTGTTTTGGTAACCCTGTGATTTCTCTCTTTTCCTGTTCCAGCTTAGGTCTGGTCTTACCGAATTACAGCAGATCTTACATCCAAGCTAATCTCAGTGACCAGATTCTCCAGGTGAAGTGTAAGTATATGTTTTTATTTTCCTCCTGTCCTTTCACATACCCTTTGACCCTGAACCCGCCAGCTAGCCTAAGGATGATTTGCAAGAGAAAGCAAAATGCCTAAATGTTAACACTTTTAAAAAATGCATCAAATTAAAAAAGAAAAAAATTCCTACCCAGAGAAGAAAAGAAAGTTTCATTTTATTTATGAAAGAATAATGCAGGCTTCCCAGAGATGAAACGATTTATCAAACCCCTTGCAATGAACTTTTAAAAACATCCAGGGGAGATGAGGTTGAGTTGTTGCTTTATATGCTTTTCATGTGGTAGATTATAATAGCAGCTGGTTAATTTGAAAACTGGGAAATTTTGCATGTTTCTTTCTGTTTTGTTTAAATTTTGTTTTAAGCCATCCTTATTTTTATTTAAAGTTTGAATTTCTTTGCTTCTTGTCCTCACTAATTTACAATTAATCTCTGTACTTGTGTGTTTGCTTCCCCTTGTGTGTGATCCTGGGCTCTGCTCTCTCATCAAAGGGTGTGAGGAGCTTCTAAGGGAGTTTTTAACATCCTGTTCTGAGTGATTCTGCCTTTTTCTATCTGTGTCTGTCCCTCTGTCTCTGTCATTCCTCTTCTTTCTCAACTCGCTCCCTTTCCCCACCTTTTGTACTCCATACTCACGCGATGTTACTTATGGCGACTAAAAAATTTCACCTTCAAGGAAGTTTAGAGTGATTCCTTACAATGTATGCAGAAGTACGACATATTGAAGATTTGCTTATGGAAATAGGTTCCAAAATACAGGTAGTCCTTGACTTACAACCACAACTGGGACCAGAATGTCCATTTGCTAAACAAGGCATTTGGTAAGTGAGTCACGTCCAGTTTTATGACTTTTTTTGCCATTATTGCTAAGCAAGTCATTGCAGTTTTAAAGTGAATCACATGTGATGAAGTAAATCTGGCTTCTCCCATTGGCTTTCCTTGATGGAAGTCAGTGTGGAGATAGCAAATGGTGATTACATGGCTCCAGGATGTGGCAGCCATTGTAAGAATGTGCTGATTGCCAAGCATCCAAATTTTGATCACATGATTGTAGGGATGCTATGATGGTTATAAGTGTGAGGACCAGTCAGAAGTCACTTTTTCAGTGCCATTGTAACTTCAGTCACTAAGCAAATGGTTGTAAGTTAAGGACTCCCTGCATATAGGCTCTTCTGACCAAGACTAGATAGAACATCAATCGCAGAGTGGTCTTACCCTTAAATGGACTGATCCAGCCCCGGAACAAATCATTCCAAGTACTCTGGACATAGTATAATATTAATCAGGCCCACCCTGTGAGTTTCTTCAAATAGTTAAAAGATGGGTGATTTGGCATATCTCTAGCCCAGCCGTAGATGTTGCCCCAACTTGCTCACTTTTAATCAAATTAGTTTTAACCCTATTGCATAAAGACATTACAGTTGCAGTCCTTTCCAATTTACTTGGGAATATAAAAAAATCTTTTCAATAAGAATTTTTTAGACACTAAGAAGAAATGTGAATCATCTTTCTCCTGCTATTTAAGCTTCCACTTCTCTATAGAAAGAAAAAATAAATAAAGATCATCTAGTTTTAAGTTGGGGGGGTATGGGTCTAGGCTGCTTAAGGGGCTCCTACAAAGACAAGGGGGTTAAACTACTTTCCAAAGCACCAAAAAGCATGACAAGGAGGGAAACTAAACAAGGAGAGAAGCAACCTAGAACTAAGGAGAAATTTCCTAACATTGAGAGCAATCAACCAATGGAATAGCTTGCCTTCAGAAGTTGTGGGTACTCCATTACTGGAGGTTATTAAGAAGAGACTGGGCAAACTATTTGTCTGAAATGGTATAGGGTTTCCTGTTCAAGCAGGGGGTTGGACTAGAAGACCTCCGAAGTCCCTTCCAATCTATTATTTTATGTTCTATGTTTATGCTTCCAATGTTTTGTAGGAGCATTTGGTGCAGTATTCACAAATGATTGCTTTGGGAAAAAAATTGCCATCCCATACTTTCCAGATAAAAAGTTATGCTATAAAAAAGAATTGTTGCAAAGCCTCTTCCCTAGCATGGAAACTTGGTATAAAAATGTGTTTGATGTGGGAAGTGTTTACAAGTAGGTAACTCTCTTGTACAACCTGATAGAAGTTTTGTGAAGGATTATAGCAACAAATGTAAATAAGAATCAGAGGAGGCCTAATGTATGTCTCAGGCCAAGAGATGATACTTTCCAAAGAGCATCTGCTGAGAGCAAGCATCTCTCCTTAACTCCTGGGACAGAATCGGCCTGTGCTTCAAAAGGATCCTGCTCTGATATAAAGGTATATAGGAATGGCCTTGGGAGACAGGGAGAAGAGATGATTTCCCCCCTCCTCCCCCGTCAGATAAGGGTCAAATAAGAGAGGTCATAGCCCATATTGGGTGAAGAACGAGGTGGGGAATGAGGCTCAGAAAGGACCCCTTCTAAGTTCTCAAGCTATAAAGGAGGCTTGCAAGATTGATGTCAGCCTTCCCAAGTAGAACAGTCAAAAAACATGGCCAGATGAGCTAACTGTACTTTATTGTAAGACTACATCAACAGAATCTTGCCAGTCTAAAAGTACAAATCTCCCATCATCTCCTTCACAGCCCGAAAGCTTGGGGAGAGGGACCTTATGAGCCTCTTTCTTCTTCCATTACGCAGCTGTTGACTATGCCCTCTCTTATCTGACAGTTTCCATCTTCACCTTATCTCCCAACATCATTCCCAAATACCATTACTGGCCATCTCTGACTTTATGTGTTTTCTCTCTCTCTCTCTCTCTCTCTCTCTCTCTCTCTCTCTCTCTCTCTCTCAAATGAGGCCTTAGGTTGCTACACATTATACAACTAGTCCTCGACTTATGGTAACAATTGAGCTCAACATTTCCGTTGCTAAGCAAGATGGTTGTTAAGTGAGTTTTGCCCCATTTTACGACCTTTCTTGCCACTGTTGTTAACTGTGAAGTGAATCACTGCAGTTGTTAAGTTAGTAACATGGCTGTTAAGTGAATCTGGCTTCCCCACTGACTTTGCTTGTCAAAAGCTCATACATGATCACATGATCCCCGGGACACCGCAACCGTCATAAATATGAGTCAGTTGCCAAACGTCTGAGATTTGATCACGTGACCATGGAGATGCCGCAACGGTCGTAAGTGTGAAAAGCAGTCATAAGTCAGTTATTTCAGTGCCATAGTAACTTTAAAGAGTCACTAAACAAATGGTTGTAAGTCGAGGACTACCTGTAGTTGAGATTACCACTTGGGTACTTGGTTTTGAACTAGCATGCTAAGGGGCACCATATCAGGCTCTGGCCTTCAGGTTTCTGAACCCAGCAAATGAGTAGTTCAAATTCAGTCAGGAAGAGGAAGAGCTCTCTGATTACCCTCACCAGGCTAGGTTGGCAGGATTGAGGCTTCCCAGGTTCCTCTTCCAATTAAAAACCAACCTGAAATAATACAACCTGGATTTGGTCCTCAATCTCCCTGCTTCTAACAGCAGCTACCTTATTTAATGTCTATCTAACTTAATATTGTCATTGTAGTGCCTGGCAACAGCTCTGCCAAATTTCAGGCAGGAGCCATTTCCAGTCTTGCCTGAAAATTATACCTGGCGTCTTTTGCATATGCACAAGTGTGTGCTTTCTGCTGTAAAGCTGCAAGCTTTCTCCTCAATGTCACTTCAATGCACATAGATTTCTCTTCAACAATTTCTGTCATCATTGAGACTATTTTCTCTCATCAGGAAATTATACGTGTCTCTTTGGCAGGTTTTTGTTTTTTAAAATTGGTCACGTTTCATAAACTATGTGATTTCCCCTATGCACTATAATGTCAGGCATGCTAAAGACTTCCAGCTTCCTTTGCAAGAAGGAAATGTGGATTGCTTTTTTCTTTTCTTTTAAAGAAAGTAAGTTTCTGCCACATAGGGTTGATTCCAAGCTCCTGTCCTATTTTTACCTTTCACTGAGAATAGCCACATCTTTACCCATTTGCTAGATGTGCTCAGGCGTGGCCCACTGCCCTGAATTTCTCTCCCTTCATTTCCTTTCCTTCTGTCTCAATCTCTGTGTGTGTCTTTTGTTAATCTTGAATTTTGCATGGTCTGCTAACTCAGTAAGAACATTTCTAGATCAAGACTGTTGCAAACTGTTTGCTAATGAATTCCATTTTTATGTTGGTTATATAATATATATCTATAGATCGAGTTATATCTATACATTTTTATTATTTTCTTACTGTGGCCTTTGGTACTTTTATTACTATTATTATTATTATTATTATTATTATTATTATTATTATTATTATTTTGGCTTATTTCTTTTTCATGTCGTTTTTTGCAAGAGGTTTCCTTTTGGTATGATTATAATACACAATATTTTTATTCAAACAGCAATTGAATAAAATATTGTTTGTACCCCCTTCCCCCTTTCCACCCAACCCCCTTTTTTGTTTTCTGTTTTTTGTTTGTTTTTTCTTGCTTTCTCTCTCTGATGGATTCACACAGTACCAAGCAAATTGAAGGGCAAGTATTTTCAGTCTTAGACCACTACCCTTCCACCACCCTCTTCTCCTCACCTGTGTCCACTATCCCCCACCCCTCACTCCAGACCTTCACCACTCTCCCTTACCACCACCACCACCTGGCCTGCTTGCCCATTTCCTTGCCCGTTTGCCACGCCTAACCTTGCGAATCACCACCAAACTCTTCCCCTCTCCTCTCCCCTGCCCCCCCCTCCCCTTATATTCTTCCACTCTTTATTTGAAAGCAACATGTCTTGTTATGTTCATAATAGCTTCACCACTACTGATCTTCCCACTCCCACCCTGTACATTGCTCAGAGATTCAATCCGGTATCGTTAAAGATGAGCCAATTTCATATGGAACTGTTATGTTTGAATTCAATTAAGGTTTTTGTAGCTAGTTTAAAATCCTGCTCTTCTTCCTCCCTCCTGCAAAAAATATCTCTTCCACCCTTTCTGCTTTTTCCTCTCCCCTGTCCCACACCTTTCCTAAAAATTTTCTTACCCTGTCCTTGTTCCTGTGCTTACCTTTCTCTTCAAGACAACTCAACCTGAATGGAACAGGGCTGTGCCGAAACCTCCAGGTTCAGAAAGGTTTGGAAACAGAGACTAATATCCCTTTCTCAAGAAAACCTTTAAGCTCCTCCAAAGGGAGAGGGGGAGAAGCAGAACATCTCAAGATGAGTCCACATTGCTCGCACGCCAGAATTTTTGAAGCCAAAGAACCATAATCATCACAACGGGCATCGTCATCATTAACAGAAATCTTAACAAGAGATTTCTGACCATTTATTATCTCAAACTTATTATCTTTATTTTTTTTCTACTTTATTATCTCAAACTATTATCACAATCGGAGATGGGACATAGTCGAAAGATAGTGTTGTGAACATTCAGTCTACTCAGTTCTCCTACTCATTCATAAAATTTTGAGGTAATGGTTTCAAAACTCAGTAGGAAGGGCAAGTCTAAAACTTTCCATCCTCTACACAAACCTAAATTAGTAAGATAGGGTTGGTCGTTATAGATTTCGCTTGCCTCCTCCTTTTCTTGTATATCAAACACTATGATAGCAAATTAGTTTAAATACAGACTAGAGGTTGTATACAGTACTGTATATAGCATTTAGCAATAGCACGTAGACTTATATACCGCTTCATAGTGCTTTACAGAATTTTCTAAGAGGTTTACAAATATCAGCATCTTGTTCCAAAAATTTGGGTCCTCATTTTACCAAGCTTGGAAGGATGGAAGGCTGAGTCAACCTTCAGCCAGTCAGGATCGAACTGTAGGCTGTGGGTAGAATTTGCCTGCAAATACTGCATTCTAATCACTGAACCACCATGGCTCCCATATACATGTACCTGAGCATAATTTTTTTTAAAAAAAGAAACGTGATTATATTTTATAAAATAACTAATTAAAATAATATACTTTACAAATTAAAGACCTCTGTTATGAAAAGATTGTTGTAGAAGTTGCACCCACAGCACCAGCTGTGACAGGAGAAAAAGGAGGAGTGAAATTTTAAAGCCCGTTTAGTAGTAAAAGCAAAACTATCTATTTTATATGAAAACAAGGTTTGGAACATTTATTTCATCAAAGTAAAGAAGCAAAGAAATAAAACACTGCATATTTTTGGTTACTTCCATAATAATTCAAGATCTCCAGGGTCGATATCCATATAAAAGTGAGATATGTGACTTGAAATGGCATTTAATTAACACAAAATGCAGGAAAGCCCCAGAGGGATGCTTCTTATTAGACTGTGACCTGTTCCACACAAAAAGACAGGAAGCTGAAATGCCTTGCAATAAATATATGGTTTTCATTTGACCCAAATTTCCCCTAGATACAAGCATTCCTACAGTCATGAGTGAAATTTCCTAGGTTCTATGCTTATAGTTTTGCACAACTTCATGAGGTTAAGCAAGTCTCTATGGAAGTTCAGCCACACTAGCTGGGAATACTAGGAGTTGTAACTCCTAACAAAGCTGGATACCGCTCAGATTGGGAAGCCCAGCTTAAGCACTTAGCAAAGGAAATGGTGCAGGTAGATAGAAAAGATAAAAAAGATACAGAGAAGAGACCCCAGTCAAAATACACAGCTGTACACTGCCACACTAAGACATTATCAGTGACTGGATTCAAGCACAAGAGTTCTCAGCCCTGTTCTATCAGCAATGAGCTGCCTGTTCCTGACCCTGTATTGGCAATGCTGATGAAAATAATTACTTAGTGTTTTGTATTCCTTTCCTCTTCCTCCTTTCATTGGCTTGTTTCCAGACCCTGCCTTATAGTCCTGTTCGAAAACAGCAGTCCAACCTATGGCTGTGCTGCCCTCACAAAGGGCCACATACATTTTGCAATGCATTGTGGGAGACATGGGGGGGAAGGAGAGGGGTTTTGATGGTTTCATAATCCATCTGTTTATATTGATGCATTCTGAAGCTCATTTTGCAGCTAATCGAAAAATACAAGTCTGATGAATTTGATTGATCCAATAGGAAAAGTGAATGGATATTCTTCAAGGGAAAGCCTGCAACAGCTATCCCTCTCTACTTCTTTCTTTCTTTCTTTCTTTCTTTCTTTCTTTCTTTCTTTCTTTCTCTTTCTTTCTTTCTTTCTTTTTACCAAAAGAGATTTAGAAGCTGAAGGAGACTTAAAATACTACACTATTCTCTAGAAGGTAGATATAAAATACACATTTATATTGATACAATTCCTCACCTAGAACCTATTAATATATTAAAGGTAAGCTGCCTTTATATGCATCACAGGAGAAAATGTCACTGAGTGAAGGGTTTTTTCTCCGGGTTTCAAAGCAGTGGATCAGAAAGTTTTATTCACTTCCTCAAAGCCCGTACTGGCAAAAGGAGCTCAGAAAAAAGTCTGGGGACTTCATCTATGCAATAACTTTATAGGCATCAGCACACAAACTCTGGAGATTATGGTAGTTAATATTTTATTTTATATTGATAAAAGTAATTTTAAAAAGAGAAAAGTCATTTTATCACAGTTAACATGTAATATTTTTTATTCCAGTAAAAAAATCTGGTTCACACATTTTGGCTCTATACATAGTAGTGTGTAGGTATGAAGGATGTAAGTAACCATGCTTACATCTCAAAGAACCATCCTGAATTGTGGCAGGGTCTCCAAGGAACTCACTGCAATTCCTGAAGAGCCAAAGTCAACTCAATCTGTGTTCTTTTCTTGCCCCTGAATGTAAATGGTGCAAAACCATTCAAATGTTTTCATGCATTACAGATAGTTAACTGGCTATTGTTTAGTCTGCTATAGAGAGACCTGTTGAAAGTAATGAAGATAATCTTAATGGAGATAGGCAATATATTGTTACCAGGGGAAAACATCTTAAGTCTGCATCAAATATGAGAAAGGCTCAGATGGATGCCACACTAATTCACATGAGTGTAAGGAGGGGAAGGGGTACAGCACAATGAGATTTGCAAGATTGTTGTCAGCCCCCCCCCTCCCGCAGATAGACCAGAACAGGAATCAATTCCATAGGTGGCTAATATTACTTTTATTGATAATGGCTATGCCAACAGAGCCTTGCAAATCTGATTACTCTGTGCCTCCTTTCATTCTTATGTGAATTAGGAGCTATATGCAACCCAAAGTACAAGGGCATTCATCTTCTCATTCGAGCCTTGTCCTTAGTGACTTATGCAGACATTCCAATAAAATAAGCAAAAAGGTTGCAATTTAGAAAGGATTGCAAATATATTTTCTTTTTTTTTTAGCAAACTGGTCTATGTTTCATGTTTGAAATATCAACAATTATTTTCATTTTGGTCAAAGCAAAATCTTCCTTTGTGGTTATCACTATTAAGGCCAGCAAGTTCCTCCTGTTGTTGTTGTTTTTTTCATGGCTTGGCATGATTTTATATTCCTAGAAAAATTGGGGGGGGGGCGTTTTTATTTTTTAGTTAAGCCATTATTTTAGAATAAATTCTTCTGTGCAGTCAGTTATATATGTTTGTGATCTTGCTGCCAAGTCTAGAGCGTTAATTATTACTAAATGTTGCGGCACTGTAGGAATTGTGATTAGAGTGCCAATGAGCCTGGCAGAGGTTGATGTTTGCAGATTGGATTGGCTAGAGGAGAAGATAATGGTAGGATTTGTTAGGAGTTGAAAATATGGACTAATTTCTTAGTCCTGATCGTAATGAATTAGCCTCACACTGATCCTTAATTTTTTTAAGTATTATTACATTTTAGTACCAAAATAATCCAGATTAAAGTATCACCCATCACATGATTAGGGGTGAATAGATGGAACTGATACATATTCTGTAATTTTCAATAAAGGAGATAGTGAATCTATTCCATTTAAATAACGTGTAGTGGAATACTTTTTTCTGGAGCAATGTAGGGTTACTGAAAAAAGAAATATCATCCAAAATTATTGTTTCTTTGCTAAATATTTGCTAAATATTAATTTTTCATTACTTTTAAAGAGTGGCATGATTTTTTTAAAAAAATAATAAACTAGGAGAGTAAACCATACCACCACTGTTTTCACTTTCCAATCTGTTAGCAGCAGATTGGAAATTATGTCTTTTCTTCTGAAACACTGAAAACAGTGAGTGACAATCCCTGCCTTGTCCTGCACTTCTCAGGTCTTGTAGCAACAAAAGTCTCCTCAACCTCCTATCACATCTAAAGAGAAAGAAACAAAAGCACAATAGCCAGATAAAATCCAATTACAAACCTTCAATTGTTATTATTTGAAATATTACTGAATCCCAATATATGCCTATTTGAAGCCTTCTTAAATGTTGGTTATATAAAGAGCTATCCAGAAAAGATTCAACTAAATTATGCCTCGGTTAAATTATTTTTTATTGTATCAAGGGAACTATTGTTTTAAGATTATTTTTTGAAAAAAACCATAAAAGTATAGACAAGTGTCCAGATTGAAGCTATCAGTAAATCTGATCAAGTAGAAAATTGGGTGCACTGTTTTGGTTGGATCAAATTTTTGGGGATTTATTTCAATCTGAATCCTGGACAGAAATAAGAGAGAATCAGTGAGTTATTGATGTTGATTCTCCATCAATAACTATTGACAGCAGTAATAATGGTATAGTTCTGAACCACTTTTCTAGATGAAAAGCTGAATAAATTGCTATGCATTGCTTTTTTTTCTCCTATCTCACAAAATGGCTTCAGAAATAGTCCTGGCAATCGTTTTCTGTGAAAATTGGCCAGGGAGATTCCACAGGATTTCATTTTGCTTACCATACTTGTTAAGAATTACATGAAAGTGCTGCACAAGGTAATTCAAGGATTTGAAGCACAGTATAAGCATTGTTATAATGGCACTCAGTTCTCTTTTCTGACACCATCATTAATGGCACAGGCTTCCATCAATTATTCCTAGAGGTCAGGAATGAAATGGGTGAAGATTATACATAATTTGATGCAAAATGGCAATGCCATTGGAGAGATGTCTCATAATATGTAGAGGGCATGTCAATTATAGTTAAAAGAACTTTGCTTCTCATAAAAATAAATTTGTAGGGGAACTCATCCATTTTAAGCAAGGTCATTTGACAGAAGCAATGATAAAGATATTTAGCTTAGTTTAGTTTAGTTTAGCTTAGTTTAGCTTAGTTTAGTTATGTTTTGGAGGCCACTAAAGCACATCTTAAATTGAGCTTATAATCCTATTTACCCAAGATATGTCTGGGTAGAATGTATGTAGGATAATATTATAAAGCACAGAATTCCAATAAAATAACAATACTTCCTGCCTCCCTTTTCCTTTTTCCCTATGACAATAGAAATTCAGGATATTGGGACTCTTCTATCTCTGTTTTATACCACAAGAATTCTTACTTCTCTTTTTCAGATAGTGAGAATTGCAAAATCAAACTTTCAGAACATGGTAACATCTGACAAACATTTAAGGAGCATACCAAAAGTTTATTGAAATTTAACCAACTCATAGAAAACCAAATACCAAAATGAAAAACATTTGTAATGTACAGATTATAGTATAGGCATCATTATTTTTCTGGAAAACTATTGATCATGTTCATTCAATAGCTACACGACTACTAGTGAGTACCACTTGGATTTGTGCTGATTGTGTTAAATGTATCTTTTGTCCTATTTTGCTGTTCCAGTGTTATGATTTAATAGAACCCTGTAGTTATTAATTGATTCAGTCATTTATACTCAATCACTCAATTCACATCTCAGCTTTCCTTGGGGAGCTCAAGGTAGCTTATAGAGGCCTCTCTCTTTCCATTTTTCCCAAGGGAAAAAAAAACTGTGAAGTGCCCCAAGTCATCCAGTCTTTTCATGCCTGAGGGTGAACTTCAGTATGTTCTTTCTGCTCCTAATATAATCCCATAACATACCTGTTCCTCATTTTAATAAATAACCATTTACCGATAAAACATGTACAACATATTTATATCCCACCTTTATTATTTTTATAAATACATCAAGGTGGTAAACATACTGATACTCCTTCCTCCTCTTATTTCCCCACAATAGGAGCCCTGTGAGGTGAGTTGGGCTGAGAGAAACAGTGTCTGGTCCAAAGTGACCCAACCAGCTTTCATGCCTAAGGCAGGACTAGATCTTACAGTCTCCTGGTTTCTAGCCTGGTGCCTTAACTATCAGAGCTCAGTATTCTCTTGGAATATTGACCATGTTTAATGCTCCACAGTTGATTTGATTACATAAGTTACTTCTATGGAATTCAGGCTGTTTCACATTCTAACCAAGGAGGGATGGCTATTGCAGTGCTCTGAGATCTCTGTCTATAGAAAAGACAGCTGCTGCACTCTCTACAATGCATTGTGTTTTACCTCTAGCTGCGGGTAAGTCTTTGGTTGGACTGTCTTCATAAAGGACCCTGGTTTGGCCATGTTGATGCCTGAAAAATAATTTTTCTTAGAAAATATTGTTTTAGTAATTCTCTTTTTGTATGAGCAGAGCATGTGATTTCTTTTCTTTGTAATTTCATAATAAGAGAGAGACATCCACATGACCTACTAAACATACATATATATGTGTTTATATATATATATAAGAATGAGTATATATATGTGTGTAGGTATAATTACATATATTCCCAAATCAATATTTATATATATATATACAATCTGCCAAATATATTTAATTACAGATTATGGAATTTTAATTATATATGATAAACTCACCAAATCCACTCAATGTTGGCAACTTATTGGCTATAACTTTCTTCTGGTGTGATGTGAGCGCCCAAAGTGTATTCTCTCCTTTCTCTCTTGTTAAAATGAGCCAGTGGTTTTGCCTCTTCTGTTTATTCCTGTCTCTTTTCTCTTTCTCTCTCCCCCAACCCCGTTTCCTCTTGCTCTGGCTCTGTCATCTTCTGAAACCGAAGCTGCCTTCTTCCCTCATTTCAACTCCCCGCCGCATAATGTTACCTTTCTGTTGCAGATTTTGAATACCTGCTGCCAAACAGCTTTGAGTCCGAGGGACATGTATTCATTGCTCCAAGGTAGCTTTGTGTGTGAGCTTGCTGAGGTGTCCATTTAACCACCAATCCTGGGAGTGGTTCAACTCCCCTTCCCCGACCCCTTTTCCGTCCCTGCCACACCTTCAGATATTCTACTCCATCACTCCTGACCCCTTTGGAACTGATATACCTTCTCATTGTGCCAATGTCTTGATCATTTCTTCCTTTTTTTGTGTGTCTGTTGTCTGCCTGTGTGCCAGTCTTGGGGACTATATTGCCGCCACCTACACTACATTGTGCTACCATTGGCGGCCGGCAGCATAGCTGTCCCACCTTCTGTTCACTCACCTACATAAGAAGAATATATATATATATATATGTATGGCTGCATATGAGATGCATATGTAGCACACATATATAAGTATAGTTTCTGAAAATCCTCAAAAAAAAAAAAAAACAGTGCATAGTGACGTTTTGATCCTATTGAGATCATGAGACTATGTAAGAAAAAAATTCCACCAAATAATCTCTAAATTAGCCCAGTCTAAGAAATCATATTGATCAGGACTACTTTTATTGCAACAGCTATAGTAGTAGAAATCTTGAAAGTCTGACTGTGCTCCTTTTTCTTCACTTTATCTTTGAGCGAACTAGGGAGGGCCTTGTCTGAGATGATTCCTTATGTTATTTTCTTTGTCTAGGTTCTGAGCCCCTCTTATCTGATTGTTGACTTGGTAGCAGCATTTCTTCCTGTCCTTCAAGGCTATTCCCTTTGCCCTCTACAAACGTTATTATTGACTTATTATATAGTAATATCATACATAAAATCACAAACTCTGCATTTTATAAGTTTTACTCTATCAAATGTTACTCTTCCAACTCTTTCAAATTTAATTATTTCAAATCTACAGAACAGAACATTTGTTACCCAGTCCAGTGTACTGGTCAAAATATTACACTAGGCTAGGGGAGGTTCAAATTCACAGAACAGTTTGAGGATAAAACTGGAGAAGGAGAGAACTATATATGTTATCTAAGATTTGGAAAAAAACAGAATTCCGTATTCCATAAATAAATAAATATTGTTAGATTTATGGGCAGCACAACATCATCTGACAAACTGGTGATATATTTGGCATACGAATGAAATTACAGTGACAACTGTTTGTGATAATCATTTGCAATGGTGAAACCTATTTGGCTCCCCCAACCACAGAAGGCCAAATAGAAATAAAGATGGAGCTCTTACATCTTTAATAGTTCTTTAGAACAGGGAAAATCAGAGTCTCAAACAAGGATGCCATACTGTCAGAAATAACCCCTTCTACCCAGACTTTTAAAGATGCACTAAGCTGGGCCTCTTCTGGGCCTCACTTGATCCTCTACATGGGTCAAGGATATACAGTAAAAAAATGAAAGAAACACCATAAATTCAGCTTTATATAAGACAATGGATAGGTGACGTTCTAACATTTTTTTAAGCAGCTATGAGATGTATTAATCCCACAGAGCAATCCTATACATAAATATTTAGAAGTATTCCATGGATTTTATTCCCAGGTAAGTATTTATAGGATTGCAGTCTTAAAAATGCATGAGACTCATATAAGGGTTTTTTTTTTTAATTGGGATGAGGAAACTGTATCCCTCCATATAATGCTAAACCAATCCAAATAGCATCATTCGGTATTGGTCTTACTGAGCAGGGTTGCTTAGAAACTAGCATTTAACTGGACTTCTTTTCTTTTTGGTTTGAAATGTTTCGTTACTTTTCAAGCCAAAAAGAAGTCCAGTTGCCATGACTCAAGTTCCAAATAACTCTACCTGGATGAATGAGGTAGTATATTTTATTTTCTTAAATTCTGTTGATTCTACTTTAGCAACTTCGAGAATGGGGTTCACTGACATTTGTTGCATTCTGTGCTTTGCATTTGGGGTTGACAGTACATGAGGAGAGCTATAAAATTCGTAGTTTGTAATCATTTACAGCTACCAAATCTGGGGTACAAAAATCCAGATAGTTATCATAGGCCTATGTCTTCTATGTTTCTTTGCTGTCATCATTTAGTTGTTATCTGAATTTTTGAATTCCTGATCGCCCTATAACTAATGAATATGTTTTTCTGCACTAAATACTGTTCACCATAGAAATACATGATTTCTATGGGACATTTTATAAATCATGGATAACAGTTTATATTCAATTTTGTAGGTTTTTAAGATTTTTTTTGAGAATATGTCCTTTTTGTATAGATGTATAGATAATCATAAAATAAAAGGGAAAGACTTTTTGTTATTCTGAAAACATTATTTGCAACCCAATGTCTAATTAGATCTATCATTTGCAGCCTTTCCGAACCTGATTCTTTTTACATTTGTTGGACCACACTTCCCCCCAGTGGCAGCCAAGATGACCAATAGCCATATTATCAAATTCTAGGAGGTATCATGTAATCCATTGGAAGCTATCAGAGGTTAAGAAATGCAAATTTATGATTATATCAGAACAAACAGGCTTCAAGCATTCATTCCTAGTGATTACTTATGACATTTTTTAATTCCAGCTACATTATTTACACTAATTAGCTACACTAATTCCTTTCAGCCCCAATAATGCTCAGCAATATGCTGTGAAGACTCATCATTACCAATATGGCCAATAGTCCATGGTAATTTTCAGAAACCATATATCACTAATAATCTATTTGTGGGTGTGCAAGCACATATTTGTACATATTTGTGTAGATACATATTTGTGTAGATACATAGGTGGATAAAATATTGTATATATCTATCTATCTATACATATATATAGCTCTTCAAGAAGCAAAATAAACTGGGCGGCCCAGGATTTTATGTTGCATTAACATACTGTACAGTGATGAAAAATCAGAAGGTTATTAAAGCAAAATAAATTTGTATTTTAGTTCTATGAAAAAGTTGTTAAAAACTGGTGACTGTCAAATCTTATCCAACCACTCTACAGAATATATTTTAATTGCTTCTGCTTTCATACACATTCATTTTGTTGGATCTAACAAATGGGATGCATACTGAACCTGCTACTTGGTTCAAACTCATTAACTCTCTGTATTTGAATTGACGTTTTAAGGGACCTACTGAATTTGTGCCAAAGATGCCTATGCAACATAACTAAGTAGTTTTATCTACAAAATGTATTCCACTTATACATGGACAGGCTTTTGTATTGAACATACTTTTTGTGACAGATGCCTTAAACAAATTACACCTGCTGCTATCCCCTCAGCTACATTTCTGTTAAAAGGCAGTTTTACATCATCTTTTACATCTGGCCACCTGGTGGGATGTCCCATGTGATATTTGTCATGAACCCAGAAAAATCACTCTCTAAATTGCAGTCTCTATCCTGTTCTAAATTATTTCTTAATATCTAATTCTGAAAGCTACAATATAAAGAAACAGGAATACACACACACATTCTCTTTCCAACCCCAGACCTTGATAACTGGCAATGCAAAACTAGATCATGCAAACTTTGTTGTTTAAATTGAATAGAAACTCCCAAAGATAGTGGCAAATGATGATGGGAACAAGCCTAAATTTGTTATATATCTTTACAGTTCACAATGGTCTATATATGCAGATGCATAGACTCACAGCAAGGTACAATCTTACAAGTTAACTCATTAAAAGACTGAGTTGATAAATAGTTTAATATATAAAACTCAGTACTGAAGGTGCATATACTTTTGCAAGCAAATGTCAGCACCTATCTTGTCTAAATGAAGGGTACAGATATGTCTACAGTTTGTATATGTGTCTGTAGCAGTATTTCACTGCATAATCTTGGAGCAAGCATGGCTGGCCATCCTGTTTTCTATTGCTATGGTGAAGAGTGGTTCACTGTGACTGTCCTGAGAATCTCTGTGCGTTGTGGAATCTTGTTTTGTTCCACAAGTAAGACAGATCTTTAGTGTTTTCTCTCATATGTCCCTTTTCCACTCTTTCCTATCCTATCTCCCACTTTCTCAAAGAGTGGAGTTTCAGGGAAAAAACATTTTGCATATTTAATATAAAGTCAACTAAAGATGGGTAACTTTTGTCCTTCCCCACCTCCCCCCCAAAAAAAACAAAAAGAAAAGAATAGTGGCACTGATTTTAATTATTGAGTTGAACTGTGACCACAATAAATGAAGAGACATATCTAATGAAAGCATATGGTAAGTTGCGCAGTAAGTGATGAAATAGATGTGAATTGGTTAGAAATTCCAACTTTTGCCTTAGCATCTTTTGAGGGAAACCAATTCTGTATCAAAGCATTATAGATAAGAGAATCTTCTACTCTTTTCACAAATCATTGAACCTACATCTGTCTCTCCTCTTTCCATTAAGAGAGAGGTAAGTATTTTTTATCCCTCATTTACAAATCCCATATCAAGACCAAAAAGGAAAAGCAAGCAATAATGCAGTTGTGCCTCTAAATTGAGCACCTCTCAAGATGGTAACTCAGGCTCCAATCACCAAATGCTTAACTTGTTGTTTTCTCTGGGATCTTGTCCTGCTTAATTCACCCAGGCTCCTGACTACACTTGAATTGGGTAGTCCCAAAGGTGTTTTTTTTTTTTCAAAAGGCAACTGGACTTTGTTTTTCATTGAAGACATTTCGCTTCTCATCCAAGAAGCTTCTTCAGTTCTTTTGAAAAAGCATACCTTTGGGACAACTATGACATGGATGATTGAGAATCTCCGTAGACACTTGAATTCGATAGCATCCCTTGACAAACAGATAGGTGCTACATACATGTATGCATACAAACAGGCACAAATACACTTGTATATGATTCAGACTGATGTTGTTGCCATTCAAGAAGTCAACCATCTAATTGGAATTAGTGTGTTCCATTTAAATTATATCTGCTTCACTTAAGCAATCTATTAAGAAAACCATACATAGTATTAAGAAAGAAATTTCCCATTCTGGATACATTTCATAATGCTGCAGCAATCAGATAAGTGAAAGAAAGATGATAAATTAATCCGTCTTCACAATATTGATTCAACAACTCTTCCCCCAACTTCCATTATTTTTTTCTATAAAAAATAAAACTAGAAATATATACAGTGGAAAGGAGAGAATAATTGTGGACTGAATTAGTGGGAAAAGGAAGAATTAGCATTTTTGTCTTCTTCCTGTCAGTTCTCCTTGGCTAGCCTTCTCAAAATTGGAATTCTCTGCTGGCTGGAAATTATGGAACTTCCCAACACATCAGGAAGGCGCCAGATTGGGGTAGCTTCATTAGCAATACTGTTTGATATTACCATGATACAGGCAATCCATATTTGGAGAAATAGGATCTGCCATGTTAACTTACAGTTTCACCTTTTATCCATTTATCACCAAAACCTGTTCAGAAGAGTTTAAAAAACAAGAACTGATATCAACTGAGGTTTTTTTTAGAAAACTGATATCTGTTATATCATCTTAGACTAACTTTTGCTATTAGAAAACAATTATATGTAGATATGAACATTGATAAGCAGTGCCATTGTTGAAGCAATTTCTTTCTAAATTGCAAATAAAGCAGTCAAGTCTTATAACAGAATCACATCAGAAAAGAACATTGAAAAGATGCTGAAAGTGAGTATTTCTGGAATGGTTTTAGTGAGAAAGATTTAAGGCTGTATCAATTGACCCATTATATCAGTAACTGGCACTGCATAAAGCTTTTAGCTTGGAGATAGCTATTACTTATCTTCATGCTTTTTAATATTGTTTATTTGGGGACACATACAATCTTCAGAAGCAATCTAAATAAAGTGGGCAAGAGATAGTTCCATTTAAAGACAAATTTAACCTTTGTCCCAGATTACCAACCTCATTTATACCCTGCCATGAAATATCAATACTAGAATGAAAAAATAATATTCACAGCTTGAGTTCTGCTCCCTCTAGAGAAGTGCTGGGCTTTGTAGATCCACATATTGATCCATTGCTGATATTCTTTACAACTGACCATCCCAGCTCAGATTTTGTTTCAGCAGCATCTGGAAATCCACAAGCTTCCCATTGCTAATCTAAAAAGGCCGGATACCAAATCTTCATCCTTAGCATCTCACTGAGGGATCCCATGGCTTATATACAGATCCACTTTTTAAAAGTATTGTTTTCCTACCACTGTCCCCAACGTCATTGTGGAAACTACAGTGAACTCTGGAAGAAAAAATGGGAGAGGGAGGAAATTAGGCTATTTTCCAATACTTGGTAAAAATAGAGCACGGTCACACTTCTATATAAGTGCCATCTTGAAAATCCCAGTAAAGCCTCATGTCTATATAAATTCACAAAAGCAAATCAAGAGTTTAATTAAGTTACAAACCCTGGAGGAATTAAAATAAGCCAGTAAGTTCTTAGAGAAATAGAGTGGCACAATTATTGCAGAAATCTGAAAACGCAGCGATGCATAGTGCTACCCAGTACTATGTGTTGTGCTTTAGGTGGCATTAAGAAACCATTCAGGTGGTGTTTTATGACATCAGTAAATAACAGAAAAGACTTATGCCACCGGTTTTTATATAGCCAATAAAGTCCCAAAGGCTTCCTACTGCACTTTCATAAATTGACCTTATATTAGTTTATAGTCTTCTGGTTACTCTTGAAAAGTGCTGTAACATCATTATGAAAAGGCCAAATAATAGCCAACTCTCAAAGACTCACTACAGATATTAGATTTGAAACATACTAGATTCTTATACATATTTCTTTCTCTACCCATTCACAGATTTAAGACATCTATATTGATAATGTATTGATCTGTATTGATAATGAGATGCACATGGAACACAAAATGATATTTCTGAGCAGAGATGGTGATGGTGAGGATATGACTCATTAAATAACTCCAGGCATACTGTATTTCCCACCTTCCTTGTCTTAACCATACCCAGCTAGTTTGAGTAGCTGCTTCACCTGTGCTGAGCACATGATTAGGCCAATTCTGAGAGAAAGAAAACTAACCACAACTTTTTCATCCTTCCAATCAACAAATCTTCCTCGTAACCCAGAGAATATTGCAAAGACCTCAACCTGTCGGATAACAACACTGAATTCCTGGAAAACTTTATTGCCCTCATGGAAAAGGTGACGCCTGACTCCAAACAATGTAAGTACCCCAGAGCTCTGTGATGGAGAGAAAGTCTCATCCCAAGGAAGGCTTCACATTTTGTGAGTGAGAGAACCCAGGGATATCCATTACTAAGCAGCAATGGGTTAATAAATAAATAAAGGGGCAAAGGTTACCAAAAATAGGTTGTTTTAAATAAAGTTTCATGTTTTTTTTAAATAAAGTATTAAGATGTGTTTCTTTTGTATCTGGGAATTGTTACCAGATGGGTTAGGTGGATTTCATAAAACAAGGATGTAATTCAACTTTCTAGCAACCTCCAGATGTATTGGATTACAGCTTCCAGAATTCCGAATCACTTGGGCCTGCTCTGGAAAATATTAGATTGTGGAAGATTGATTAGCCAATTAAGAGTTGTAATGTAGCCCTGTACGTGTCTAATCAGCTTGCCCAAATGGGATCAATGGGACTTATCTTTAAAAAAGTATGAAGTCATTGGATAATGTTGCTTGCCAATCCTACATTTGATCATAGGAATATGGACTTCTTCAAGCTTGATCTGGCTGGAATCAGGTCACATTTCATCAGAGGTTAGAGTTCTCTGATTTTATGACTATAAGATACTACATTAAAACAAACCCTAGATTACATACCAGCCTGATTTTAAATTAGTACACTGAGCAACTAAGAAATGAGCCATGGGATTCCCTTCCTTTATGGACAGATATTGACCAGGTAGCCTTTAGGTGTTAAAAATATGTTCCCAAGGGAAGTGGTCAATCCCCTTCCATAGCTGTCAAATATGGAAATGTAGTTCTACCATGTATCTTCATTACATTTAATGTGGCCAAAAAATATGACAGTACTCTAGGAATCTGTGTGCGTAAGATACAGAAATACATTTACCACTTCAGAACAAGAAAAGCCAGAGACTTTCGAGAAGAGTTTCCGAAAACATTGAGAAACATACACTTTTTTTTAAGGCAGTTTAACACTGCTAAGAATTTACATCAGGGTATCCTAATTCCAAATTACTGAATAATGAAGAGATTTGGTAATGCCTTGAACTGCCTTTTTGTGAGTAAAATGGTGAATGGAGAAATTCTTGTGGCTATTCAGGTAAGCAAACTTCTGGTTTTGGAACATTTGTTCTTTCTGTTAAGGTGACAACTTCCTTCTTCATAACCTTATCCTGGACACTGGAATTACACAACAGCTGGTGGAAACAGTATGGAAGAATCAAGATTTAAGCACGTAAATAAAACTCCTGAGATATGTTAGTGGTATTATTCAATTATGTGCAGATTAATTGCATCTTTTTGTAGTTTTCTGTGGCAATGTGAAGCTTTCAGCTGTGTTAATATAAACTAAATTACATGGCCTGGTGACCATGTTGAAAATTAATGGTGGATGGGGCTATGCAAATCTTTTAAAAGAAGTGATTCAGAAGCACACATGAAAAATCTCTCTTTCAATTTTTAAAGCAGCTGCATCTTTACCCAGGCTTGTACAGGTGCTCTATAAACTGCTTCTCATTGATTTCTTGCAGCAAAAAAACTAATTCACTATCATGTAATCTTATTTCAGTGATTGTCAGGAAGGAGGGACATTTTGAATGTGCAACCCTATTCCTAAATTTTTACTTTGATTTCTATCTTACTGCAGATATAGTCTTGTAGCTGTGTTTGTTGCCACAGATGGTGGCATTACCCGTGTTTTCCCTAACAAGTAAGTTTTTGATGTTGTTATAGTATTGTGATCTATAAGCATCTTTGCACAGATAGATTAAACTTTCTTCTCTTTGGTCTCTGCAATCCATCTTGGTCCTCTGGAAATCATCATAGAATTGCATGTATGGTCTATTTTGTGACTGCCTGATATCAAAGCCATTTTCCAGATTCTTCTGAGTAGGTCAAAGGACAGAGAAAATTGGTGGCCCCATTTATCAGCAGCAACCCCCAGCTGACCATCACTGAAGAAACACAGCATTGAAAAAAGTTTCCTCTAATGAAGCCAAGCATTTTTATTTCCTCTGTATGTCTTTTAAAGATGTGAACAAGCCTTTTGTTTCTGCAAGAATGTTGAGAGTGGGTCTCCTACAAAACAAAACAAAACAAAACAAAACCCACTACTTTTGGACATCTGAACGTGATACAAAATTGAAAAACTATCCTAAATCATGAGATTATTGTAACTTGTATACTGTAGGAGACAAAAATGTGCATTAACTACAATCTTCAGAGGAATATTTTTATTGATGTGCCTTAAATGCCTAAATGGCAGGCAGTAAAATTACTTGACATTCCCCAAACCAAGTGCAAACTTTTAGGGACTTCATAAATATCATAAATATCCTGATATTTTATATGCTTGGAAAAAAACAACAAATAATAGCAGTCAGCATTATGCAAAATGAAAATTATTGTATTGCCCCAGTAAAAAAAGTTGATAGGATTTACTTTGGGGGATTTCTGCAATCTTCTAAAACAAATAATATAACTCAATTCTAATTTTGAAAAGGCAATTCTGTAAACTTCAAGTGACATTAAAACTTCTCTCTATTGCCATTTTATAATCTCATGGTTAAATATTTACCTATTGAAAAATTTATAGGAAATATGTTTGATGAATATCTGAGGTTTTGGCAACTGAAGAGCAGATTGCCTCTTTAAAAATTCTTTAGAATTTTTATGCATATACTTGATTTTGGGCCTACTTTTATGAAAAATGAAATTGATAACGTTCTATGGGTGTGGTTGATTTCTATGAAAGAGCTGCTGAAGATTGGGAAGAAGACCGAGAGCCCTTCAATGCTAGCTTTTATCGAAGGAGCCTAGATAATAAAGGCTACATCTTTAAGCCACCTTACCGAGATCGTAAGTAAAATCTTGCAGAAAATAGCTAAGCAGTTTTGATGTATTTTCAGTTTGGATAGTCCTTATAAATATGAAGCTCCAGGAGATTGCAACAAAACTCTTGTTCAAGCTGGCTTACTCCCAGGAGCTGAAGTCCACATATCTTAAAATTGCTCAGGTTGAAAACACTGTTCTATAGGAAAACTCTTACCATATTTGATCTCTGATATGCAAATTTATGTGTCAGGAGTAGGGGAATGGAGCATTCAGTCATCATATCATGGGAAATAAATTGCTTTGGCCTTATATGTTTATATGTTATGGTGCATATTTAATTTTTGTCATGTTTGTTGTCAGAATTTGATAGAATTGTCACAACTTAAGACAGATGATAGGCTACCATCTACATCAGTAGTAGTGGATGTAGCTTAAGACTTTAATTACTAAATAGCAGAATCAAAGAAGCAGCCTTTTATTTTGTTGTTAAAGTTAATTGGAAAGTAAGCTTTGGCAGGAAGACAACTTTTCATGAAACCATAAAAATAGTCCATTATCAGATTGTTTCTTCTAGCCCAGAGAGTTTCTTGTAACAGTCATGCAGTATTATTCATCAGAAAATGCTAATTCGTTTTCCTCTTTTCTTTAAATAGCCAATTACAGAGGATCAGAACCAGAAAGCAGTGCTGTTGGGATCCTAGTTAGCACAGCTGTAGAACTCAACATAGGAGAGAGGCATCTGAAGCCAGCAGGTAAGGTAATCTAGAGTTTTGTCCCAGAGATCTTTTATCCTATTCTGTCCTATTCAGTCCTATTTTAGGATAGAATAGGACAGAATTCTTTGCCACAAAGAAGAGGGAGTCAAGCTATTCTTCAAAGCACCTGAAGGCAGGACATGAAGCAACAGATGGAAACTAATCAAGGAGAGAAGCAACCTAGAACTAAGGAGAAATTTTCTGACAGTTAAAACAATTAATTAGTGGAACAACCTGCCTCCAGAAGTTTTGGGTGCTGCAACACTGGAAGTTTTTAAGAAGAGACTGGACAGCCATTTGTCTGAAATGGTATAGGGTTTCCTGCCTGAGCAGGGGGTTGGACTAGATGACCTCCAAGGTTCCTTCCAACTATTATTATTATTATTATTATTATTATTATTATTATTATTATTATTATTATTATTATAAAAGGGAGCGACTTATTATAATATGAAGATTATATCATGTTTGAAGTCTGCAAACAGAAACTGTTAAGTGAGGCTGCCATCTAGTGTATTGTTGTTTATTGCAAATATACATATTCCACTGAAATTTTCTAGGAAACCAATTTATCACTTGATGGCTCAACAAATAGTCAGTTGTTTCTAATCCAGCTATCTGAAAATCGTGCATAGAATAAGAAATATTTATGTCTGCCATGAATTTGTGTTTCAGAATGAAGTCTTGATATGGTATGGCAAACAGACTCTCCTGGGAAAGACATTGTAAACTTAACTTCCTCAAATCTTCATTTCTAATTCTGCTTCCAACAAATGTCCTTTAAAGATACTGGTTTTATTCTTAGCTTATTTCATTCCTGACAAAGACAGACCATTCTGAGATTCAGTCTTGTATAACATCAGTTCATTAAACGTTCCTTGGACAATGTGCAACATCCAACACTTTCATACAAGTCTTAAGACAGGTGTCCCCAGTCCAGTTCCTTCCAGATATATCGGTCTTCAACCATGATGATCTCGCAAGCCAATTTATTGCTGTAAATTGTGGGTGTCAAACTTGCCATGTCATGTGTCGTGTCGTGACGTATCGCGACTTGTTTTGCATTGCCGGAGCTGGGGTGGGCATGGCCTCCATATGATGCAACGGGCCCACAGGCCTGCAGTTTAACATCCCTGCTGTAAATTTTCACTTACTGTCTTCTATTCAGACTGTTTTCATCACCAGTAGATCTTTTTTCCTATTCTGTCCTATTCAATCCTATTTTAGGATAGAATAGGACAGAATTCTTTGCCACAAGAAGATGGAGTCAAGCTATTCTTCAAAGCAACTGAAGGCAGGACAAGAAGCAATGGATAGAAATTAATCAAGGAGAGAAGCAACCTAGAACTAAGGAGAAATTTTCTGACAGTTAGAACAATTAATCAGTGGAACAACCTGCCTCCAGAAGTTGTGGGTGCTGCAACACTGGAAGTTTTTAAACAGACACTGGAGCACCATTTGTCTGAAATGGTATAGGGTTTCCTGCCTGAGCAGGGGGTTGGACTAGAAGACCTCCAAGATTCCTTCCAACTATTATTATTAATACAAAGGCAATTTGGAAGTAAACTTCCGTTTTGTTATCAATGACAGACACTCGCAGATACAGAACTTTTATTATACACATTAGAAAACTACATTACATTACTTTTTGACATAATCAGATTCAAATTAAGGCATGTCATAATGTCTTACAAAGTTTGAAATTCCTTAGTAGTAGCCGCTTGGCGCCAAATCTGTGCTATGGAGGGGTGATCAAAAACATCCCAAAGGAACTGCTTTAAAAGTTCTTGGGTGTGTCTAGCGATGTGCAGGCAAGTGTTATCGTGAACCAACACCACACCGGAAGTCAACATGCCCCGACACTTGTTATGGATGGCTTGTCTGGGTTTTCATAACGTTTCACAGTAGACTTCTGAATTGATGATCGAACCATGGTCCATGAACCTCACTAGCACTACTCCTTTGGTATCTTCACATTTGGCAGGATTTTCTATGGCAGGGCTTTTCAACCTTTTCACTGATTGTACCACTTTTAGGATATGGCAATATTCGAGTACCACCTAGCAAGGTGTCAAAAACTTGATGACCAAAAAAACCCCACCCCTGTTCAAAGTTGCAATTGTACTGAAATGACTTATGACCATTTTTCACACTTATGACCATTGCAGCATGCCCAGGGTCATGTGATTTACCTTTGGATGCTTGGCAACTGATTCATATTTATGATGGTCACAGTGTCTCAGGGTCATGTGATCCCCTTTTGCAACCTTTTGACAAGCAAAGTCAATGGCAGGGCTGCTGGTGGCCAAGTGCTAAGGCAGGACTTCCATCCCTCCCTCCCTCTTTCTCATGCCCACTTCCTTCTGAAGGAAGAATTTGAACCCCCCACCCCATATTTTCTCTCTTCCATATATGCACCAAACAACGAAAAGCCTCCAGAGACAGAAAAGACAAACTGCTGAGTGAAGGAAGGAACATTCCCCTTTAAGAATTAGCTACTGGCTAGAAAGGAAAGTTAAGGAGCACAGCCAGCACTTAAGGAAGAAAAAAAGATGTAGTAAGTATTGGCTGCTGGCTAAGGCAGCCTCCCCAAATGGCTCCATTCATAAGTAAAGGACTGCTACAGGCAAAATCCATTCAGGAGAAAAATATTTCAAAATCCCTTGTAGCAAAACTTACAGCTAACAATAGAAGAGCAATAGAAGCTAACACAAGACATCAGCCATCAGCCAAATAGAAATTGCCAAACACTCCTTAAGAACACAAAGCCCACATTGCACAAATCCCAGAACTTCAAAATCACAAAAACACATAAGAATCCTTCCACTCTCCATCTCCCTCCCTCCGTGCCTCACCTCCAGCTGCCTTTTTTCATTCCTCTTGGAGGGCAACCCCTCTCTCACTGCATTTCTTGCTGGTTTGCTGCTGCCAGCACAGGTGGCTCTGCCACAACAGTTGTAGATCGGCTCATGGCTGGTCTGCTTGATCTCCTCTCCCCCACCCTCCTCCTCCTTCTTTCCCTTCGATGCAGCTAGAGCTGACTCTGCCTTCTCCCAAGGCTGCTACTTTTTTTTTCTCCCTCTCTCACCCAAACTGCCTCCTTTTATAGCCTCTCCTGTCTCCGCCCGCCTCCTCCTCCTTTCTCATGGGGGAGGATGAGCCAGAAGTGAGCCTGGGGCCTTTGCCTCACCCCAGCCATTCTGCAGCTCCAGAGGACTCTCTCACAGTAAGTCCTTGCCTGTGCTGGCTCTTTCCCTCCCCCACTACACTTGGCTAGGCAGGGCTGTGTACTTAATCTACCACAAGTGGTACGCGTACCATCAGTTGAAAATCCCTGTTCTATGGCACCACTTCCGGTGTGGTGTTGGTTCACGATAATGCTTGCCCGCACAACAGTAGACGCACCCAAGAACTTTTGAAGCAGTTCCGTTGGGATGTTTTTGATCACCTCCGCATAGCCCATATTTGGTACCAAGCAAATACTACTAAGGAATTTCAAACCTTGTAAGACATTATGACAAGTGCCTCAATTTGAATGGCGATTATGTCGCAAACTAATGTAATGTAGTTTTCTAAATCTAATGTGTATAATAAAAGTTCTATATCTGCAAGTGTCTATCATTGATAACCAAACAGAGGTTTATTTCCATATTGCTTTATTGTTGTTGTTGTTGTTGTTGTATCTGCCTTAGTTCAGCATAGGCTTTCTGAAGCTCTACAAGCATTCCATATTTCCAGAGACACCTTCCACCATCTCTGAGACTTGAGTTTCAGTGTGATTATGTTGGAAAGTTATGTGAAAAAGCCCATTAAGGTATATGAAAACTATGTAGATCATGAAATCAGAATTTGTGTTTTAAAACAGAGATAGAATTGGATTCTTGCCTTTGGTCCTTTCAGCTGACTTGGAGGATTTTCCCTTTTTCCTCGCTGTCAGTTCAATTCGCCGTCTGTTGTCCTGACTTCCAGATAGACTTTTCAGGGGAATACAAGAAGCTGCAAGGGAGAAGAAGAGCAAAATCTCCTCCCATAAATGTGCTTACATTCATATTCCTCAGATTAAACTTTCTATCTGCAAATTTAAAAATAAAATTCTTTTTCCTCCCCAGTGGTAGGAGTAAAACTTGACTTGGAGGCCTGGACACAAAAATTTAAAGTCCTTGCTAGCAATCAAACAGATCAGCAGAAAACACGACGAGTAAGTAATCAAAGCGTGCATGCATGTGTGGGGTGGTGATGGTATTCCTACCGTGTTTCTCCAAAAATAAGACCAGGTCTCTTTTTTTGCCTCCAAAAGAGGCACCAGGTCTTATTTTCAGGTCATATCTGGCACCATGTCTGACTCACTTCTGGCACCAATAGCCCCAGCCAGCCAGCCTGCCCATTTCTTCTGCGGCCGAATGAGCAGCTTCATTCTGCAGGTGGGAATGGAGCTCCAGCCTGCATTTCGCAATCAGGCCTTTCCAGAAGGCCTCTACAGCCGAGTACTGAGCTATGGATTCAATCCATAGCTCAGTTCTAAGCTGCATAGGCCTTCTGGAGAGAAATGCATAGGCCTTCTGTGACTGAGAAATGCAGGCCTGGCTGCAGAAGATGTTGCAGAAGAAGTGGGCCAGCGAAAAGAGGCCTGGCTGCAAGGTGAGTGGGTGCAGGGCATGTGGGCCAGCTCCACTCCCCCACCCCTCGCCCTAGCTTGATTTTTAAGTGTGTGCCTCATCCCAAAACTAGGGCTTATTTTGGGGATAGGGCTTATATTAGGCCCACCCCCCAAAATCAAGCTGGGGCTTATTTTTGGGGTAGGCCTTACTTTCGGGAAAACATGGTAGGAACACTACTAGGACTACTAGGGCTTCTGAAAACAGCATGGTTGGAGCTGGGGAATTTCTGGTTTCAAAATAAATAAATATTGCATTAATATACAATAAAAGGAAAAGAAGGAAAAAAATTAAATATATAAAGACAATAAAAGGACAAAAAGAAATGACCAAAATGTACAATATTATATGTTCCAACCTAATATGCTATGTGGCTTGGTTTTATATTTTATATTTTGCCATTAATATTTTTATAGTGTATAGGTATTAAAGTTGTAGGTTGGGTGAATATTGTTTTTAATGCTCTAGACTTACCCAGAGCTATACTGTTTGAGTTGGGTGGCCTTATAAATCTTATTAAAAATAATAATACATACAAAAAATCATTCATTTACTTTTTAAACACATCATTAGGCATGTATCATATACTATATTAGTCTTTTCAGTATATTGCTAGAGAATCAGGTCATAAAAAGAAAGTAAATATGTATTGATTATTCAAGATATAAATGTGGGATTAATGTGCCAGTCCAACAGTGAAAAATAGCTTATTTTTTTCAGCCCCCATATCGATAAATTCATAATTCTTTGTAGTGTGATATGTTTCTGGTATATAAATCAAAAGTATATTCACATATTTAAAACTTACCAAATTTTGTAAAACTGTAAACAAATGGATGAATATCGAACCAAACAGCACAACAGCAAGACAATTTTGAATTATATAATTGTATAAATGTCATCCATTATGTTGACAGTTAACTCTTTTTAAAATAAAACACTTTGTGGGTTTACTAAACATGACAAAAGTATTTTTTGTATTAGCCTCATGATCATAAGAATCATAGTTAATATTCCCATATATAGATGTACATTTTCTTTCTTTTAAGGTAAGCCATGTTATCTAGAGTGTAGAACAGGGATCCCCAACTGTGAGCCGTGGCCCACTATTGGCCCATGGCCTATTCGCAAATAGGCAGCCTGAGTGGTGGACTGGCGCACATGTACATGCACAGCCTCGCCGGTGCAAGCAGCAGGTGCCGTCAAACACTCTGGCAACCCTACTTGCGCCCTGCCCCTCACACAAAACCATTCCCCCCTCCCACCCTCCCGGTGCCAGGCTACCAACCCTGAAAGGTTGGGGAACGCTGGTGTAGAAAATTGTATGCCAATAGTAATACATTTCTCTAGTTGTTTTCTCATTTTAATTATCAGCCAAATTCATTTACTTGCTCTATTTTTTTTTCTTACCATTGATACATAAAGAAATCATGTGGTCGTTAAGGGAATCTTTGCTTGTCAGAAGCCAGCTAGGAAGATCGCAGATGGTGATTACATGATCCTGAGATCCTGCAACTATCATAAATACCTGCTGGTTGTTAAGCACCCAAATTTTGATCACATAACTGTGGGGATGCTGCTGTGATAGTCATAAGTGTGAGGACAAATTGTAAGTCAGTTTTTCAGTGGCATTGTAACTTCGAATGGTCACTAAACAAATGGTTGTAAGTCAAGAACTATTCTATTCAAAACAGACTTCTTTCTAAGCGGACACTAACCAAAGTGTCAGTATTCTCATTTGTGGATCTTCAGATGATACAATCATTTTTTCTGAACTCTTTTGTATTGTTTTTATTCATCCAGTCAAGGTCAATTAAAAGACTTCTTTTCCCCTGTGGATAGCATTTGATCAGAATTTTGCACTCCCCCCCCCCAAATTTATCTCTGGTTTTTCCATTATGAGCTTTCCCTGGAGTTCACATGCAGGTATCACCAATCAATGGATTCATGTATTCATATGCACTCATCGCAGTCTAGATGACAACAATTCATTCACTGTGACATACAATCTGTCCCAAAATTGAAAGAGTGAATTTGGCGATTAGAACATTATATGATGGAATGTCCGTAAACTTTTAGAGGTGTATAGTATTCAGATCCAATGTTTCAGAACTGGCATGGACAACCTTGATGTACTTGTTAGTGTCTATAGAGTCTATAGAAGTGTTAGAAAGTGATTATGAAAGATTTATAGACAAAATGTGGATTTAAATAAATCAGTTCTAAGATTTGTCTAGAATTCCCTTGATTTTATTGCCTCCTTTTTTTGGTTTGCAGTGTGACCTCTCCACAAGCTGTGAGATGGACTGTGATACTAATGACAAGGTAAATAGCTGCAACATCACTGCATGACTCCTTCTGACCAGAAGACTATGTAAAAATCCACTTGATTTTTAAAATTCAGAAAGTAAGCAATTTAAAATTGACTTCTGGCAATACTGAGCAGGACTGCAAAAGTAACATAGTTATGATGCAAAGGACAATGCCTTCACCCCAAAAAGCAGGCTTCTGAAATATCTGCTGCCTAAAGCAACTAATGCAAAAATTTAAACATTGCAAATTGTACCTTTTTTTTTAATTGACAATGTTTGCAATTTGGATTGCACATTCAGAAATGTATATTCCATCTCCTGTTGAAGACAAGGATGTTCCCTTTGCTCAGTAAAAAAAACCCATCTGTAACCTGTAATAAGTTTCCTTATATGTATTTTTATTTATTTGCTTTGTTTCTCTGCTGCTACAGTCATGTCTAGCTCTGAAAGGCTTGCAAACTTCCATAACTGTAATCATTAAAAACAGAAACTTTATGCCAAAAAAAATCCTCAGTGTCAAGGGACACAGGAAACCCATTTCCACAATCACACACTAACGCACACTCAGACAATAGCAACCATTCAGAATCCAAAGTTTTACTGAGAACAGTCAGGTCCTGATAGCTTTATGGAAAGCTAACAGGATCAGGAAACATCTGATATCAATGGAATATTCTTCTGGAGAAGGATCAGACAGTGACTGATGTCCAAGATCAAAAGGCTAATGATGGTGCTGTCGTCACCCATTTACCCATCCCTGCCTCGAAGTTGATTCATCAATTTAAAACCAATCATGTAGAATGTCTACATCTTATGCTCTCTATGCTTGGGTGAAGGTTGCAGAGACTTCATGCTCCCACCGTTTGTCTGCCTTTTAAAATGTTCCACCTTATAACTTATTCCTTTGATAAAGACTTATAATCTTCTTTCTTCCTGCTCTCAAACATACTTCCTCCTGACCTTGTGCCTTCAACAACAAATACTCTTGGTTTCACAGTAGAAGAACCCAGCAAATCGTTCAGCCAGCCAGCTAACCAATAAAAATAAATAAAAGAATGGAGGGGAGAACTATTTATTTTAAAAGTGGATTATAGGAAAGAGGGGGGAATCATTCTATTTTAAAAGTAGATTGAGGAACCATTTTTTTATGAATTAGAAAAGGAGGTCAAATGGATTTTAAATGTGGTTTGAGAACAATTTATTTTAAATGAAGGTTTAAAGATATGTGAAACATGTTTGGGCAGATGTGTGTGTATGACTGATAGGGATGTGCATTTGGACCCTGTAGGATCTGCTGTCCTCACATGCAAGTCTAGGGGCCTACTTCCATAGCTTGAAAGAATTAAGAGGCAGCAGGGCCAGATCACTGCTCTGTCTGGATCATAAGTAGATGTTTTGTGTGTTTGTTTGTTTTAGCCTTCCTCATCATTTTACTCTCAGTTGATCTCAGTAAGAATTAACAGTAAAACATGCATGATACAATACTCAAGACTAAGCAATTATATAAAAAATATAACCACAAAATACATCAAGAAATCTAAAATCGAAATACAGAAATGGGTAGAAAGACAGAAATGCATTCAAGATTCAAAATTTGTTTTAATTCAATTTTTCATAATATCCTAGAGCTAAGTAAGCTGAGAGCTGCACAGATTCGAAGGGAAAGGGGTGTTTAAAAGCACCTGCACCAAAGTAGAGAAACAAAAGCCTTTAAACCAGTGGTGGTGAACCTATGGCACGGGTGCCAGAGGCGGCACTCAGAGTCCTCTCTGTGGGCACGTGCGCCATCACCCCAGTCCTAGGCCTTCAGCTGGGTTTTATACAACCTTTTTGCTTTAGGCCTCCGCTGCCGTGTACAAAAAAAAAAAAGTTCAATCAGTCAATTTCAACTTCTCGCAGAAAAAGAAAAGATCTTGCAAAGTTGGAATTGATTGATTGAACTTTTTAGTCCCACCCAGTCTGCTGTTACCATCGCAGCCACGCCCACCCAATTGGCCACATCCAGCCAATGGGCCACACCCATCCGGCACTCGACAATGCATAAGTGGGTTTTGGGTTTCAGTTTGGGCATTCAGACTCTAAAAGGTTCGCCATCACTGCTTTAAACTTTTTGCCTCCTGGGGAATAATTAGGAAATTCTCCCAGGTATTTCATACCAGGTAGACAAGTTGGGTTAAAGAAACAGTCCTGGAGATTCCTTAATGCCAAGATATGGGCTTTAAAATTAGCACTTCGAATTGCCTATGGAAGCTGATATTGGCATGCATGTGGAGCAGAAAGGTGCAATAAAATAAGGGAAGAAAAAGAAGGCCAGTGGCCTCCTTAAACAAAAGCAATATAGCAGCAACACTCCATGTCATTGCAGCTACCCACTCCCTCTTCCCATGTTGCAGGATCTGCTTTGTGTGCTTATTGATGATGGTGGATTTCTGGTGATCTCCAACCAAGAAGACTACAAATACCAGGTGAGCTGTTCTTTTTCTTAAAAAAAAAAATAATAGGGGGTACTTGCTTCATTTCACAGTGATATTTGTGTAATTACCAAAGTTTTATTTTTCAATATTCTAATATGACTGTCTGTTTACTTAGTACAGTTCATTCATTAATTATTATTTTCTCATATTCATGTACAGAATGTATGACCAATAACATTTTTACAAACAGCAACATATATAGATATTACTGATGATTGTTCTTTTCTCCTGTTTGATATTCAGGTTGGAAAGTTCTTCAGTGAGGTGGATGCCCATTTGATGTCTGCTCTCTACAACAATTCATTCTTCACACAGAAAGAATCATACGACTTTCAATCTGTCTGTGCTCCAGAAGCTCCAAGCAACACAGGAAGTGCATCACGTGGGGTCTATGTGGTGAGTCAGGATTCCATGCTATCGGATCTTACCTGATTGAAGCATTGGCTATTCGGGTGTAAATATGTTTCACATCACTGAATGGCAAGTATTTAAATTTACAAAGTAGCCAGTGTAAGGGAAAGAAGAAGGCAACCCATTCCCCCTCTAAAAATATAAATTGGAAGCCACTCCATTTGACTGAGGAGGTTACTATAAGTTGACACAAAGAGAACTCTAAAATCCCTATGAATGACAAAAAAAAAAAATCAACTGGGAATGCAGGCTACCTACCCTATTGAGTTAAAAGAAGGATACTTGTCACAGACAAATTGTGCCAGACTAATCTTATCAGCCTTTTTGATAGAGTTATTAACATAGTAGACCAAGCCAAACTGCCAAATTTGTATAGCAAAACTTCTAGCACTGTTTAAGGGGTAGAATACACACATGCGAAAGCGTAAATGATGAATATCTATGGCAGGGGTTCCCAACCAGAGGTGCAAGATGATATTCCAGGGGGTACGAAAACTTGGGTTTTCAAAATTATAGTGTATATGCATAATTTGTTGCTGTTATTTCAAACTTTTGTAAGAATATATCAGAAGCGTTCTAGGGGTGTGGGGTATAGAAAAGGTTGGAAATCACTGGTCAATGTAGATTCTCAGTCATCCAGGTCATGGTTGTCCCAAAGGTGATTTTTCAAGAGGCAACTGGACTTGCTTGTTTTTCTTTGAAGATATTTCACTTCTCATCCAAGAAGTTTCTTCAGCTCTGACTGAATGGTGGGGAATGGAAAGATTTCTTGGATCTGCTGAAAGGACTGTGTTATGAAACTGTGCTTTCTGCAGGATGTTTTCTGCCCTGTGTCCCTTCACTGAAATCTTTCCATTCCCACTATCCAGTCAGAGCTGAAGAATCTTCTTGGAGGAGAAGCGAAATGTCTTCAAAGAAAACCAAGTCCAGTTGCCTCTTGAAAAAGCACCTTTAGGATATAAATGATGAAGCACTGATGGTGGTTAGAAAAGGACAGCTCTAATGTAATAAGCTTCATGGATACCATCTGAATTGTATAGTTGTCCCCTTCAAATAGGCACCTACTATATTTACCATTACACACTGTTCACCCAAGGAAATTCAGACTTCGAGTAGCCCAACACTCATGGAGAAAGAAAATTAGGGATTGATATTTACACTATTAACACATGAGAAACAGCAGTTCACTGAGCTTGGATTTCCCAAGTACTATATTCACTTCCTAGTAGCAACTGTGTTCTGTTTAAAAGCATACTTTATTTATTTACATTTAGCCAACCATGGCAGATTTCTTGAACCTGGCTTGGTGGAGCTCAGCAGCTGCATGGTGAGTCTTTTTCTTTTCTTTTCTTTTCTTTTTTCTTTTACTTTCTTCTCTTTTTTCCTTTCTTTTAGTTAATGAGATAAACTGCAGAAGTTTAGATGTAACAAAACACGAACCATTCTAGGATAGATCTCACAATCTGTTGCAGAAATATTAGTGGAAATATCTAAAATAGTAATTTTATTGTTTTTTAAATTTCCCTAGAAATCTACAAATTCATGTTTATATTTTTGGGGGGTTTTTTGCTTTCAACTTGGAGATGTCAAAACAAAATTAATTCAAAGAACCTGTTCTGTGTTGTGACATGAAATTATTTTCTTTTACAGACACCTAATTGTTATTTCTTTCCACAAGGTCTCTATTTCAGCAGTTCCTGTATGGATTAGCCTATAACAGCTGGTTTCAAACAGGTAACAATCCCTATTTGTATATTTCTTTCAGCTCCCACAGGATGAAATGGCCGGAGGAGGAACTATAAATTAACTATAGCTGGATTAATATAGGAAGTGAAAATAAAACTAAATGTTATCTGATTGTCAGTTGCTCCTTCATTATCATGTGACTGAATATGTTACTGCTACAACTGAATGGTTCGGGTCTCTAAAAAATATCCCTCATCTTTGTGCTTTTTAATCTTGAGAAGCAAATTGTGACCTAGTTATTCTGAGTGCAGCTTCAGGGGGCTTTAGGGCACAAATATAAAATCTGCACACATAAATCTTCACCAGAGTATACGCCAATAAATCTGATCTATCATGCCAAAAAAAAAAGGAGTGCAGCCATCAATAAATAAGTTGCTAAATTGACCTTCTGCAATGGAAAAAATAGCAGGTGTAAGTCAATTTCACAAGGTGAATTAGTTGGACAAGGGAACACAACAAGCTTTCATGTAGATTAGTAGAAGATAGCAGAATGAAAAGCAATAACTAGGTTGATTCTCTAGATTTCCCCATGCTGGCTAGGGAATTCTGGGAGTTGAAGTCCACATGCCTTAAAATTGTCAAGGTTGAGAAACACTGCTCTAGACTGAGCAGAGAAATGTTACACTTCTACAGTAAAAAATAAATGTCTGTGTAGATGAGAAAAAACAAACAGTAAGGTAAAAGTGGAAATATAGGATGAAATGTTGAATTCCCCCCCCCCCCCATACATTCTTGCACCGTTATCAGTAGCGGTTGGCACAAGAACAGCTTTAGAAAAGGCCATTCCAATCCGGATGAACTGCTTTTTAGGTGATGTAGGAAAGATTTTAAAAATGTTTATGCCTTTATTTGCGAACTCACTATATGTACTATGTGTCTAAACAGAGGATGTCTCAGCAGACAACATGGAATCCAAGGAGACCAGCTGCATCATGAAGCAAACCCAATACTATTTTAGTTCTGTTAACTATACCTACAACACCATCATTGACTGTGGAAATTGCTCTAGGTTAGTAGAAAGAATCCCTGTTGTAAAGGTTCAGACATTGTAAGACTCTAGTTCTTCAGCTCAGTCCTTGTAAAAAACAGTGGGATTAAGGAACATAACCACTAACAGGTACCAAAATTAGTGGTATCTGTCATAGAAATTATAGGATGCTTGTAACTGATTGTTTAATGAAAACAGCAGACAGCTTCTGATGCCATTACACAAGATGAATGACATCCCAATAAACATCAGTATTATGCTAGACACAAAAACTCCTGGGGAATGTTATGATGGTATGATTCTGTTAGAAATTCAGTGGGTTTTTTTAAAAGAACTGCATTTCCTAGAATGCTCTGAGAAGTGCATATAGCAATAATCCTAAAAATATAACTTTAAAACTGTTTTCATGCTTCTGTTAACATCAATAGATGCTTTGTTTTGATGCTGATGGGAGGAGGAATGTTTATTGGAATAACTACAGGAGTGGAAATAGTTAATGACCTTCTCCATCCCCAACTAGATAGGTGAGATAGTGCACCACTTTGGAAGAACTGGTAGCTAATTTTTTGTTGCCCAGAGAACCAGTTGTTCACATATTTGAATCCCACCACTGGATGGATGGATGGATGGATGGATGGATAGATAGATAGATAGATAGATAGATAGATAGATAGATAGATAGGATGGATAGATAGGATGGATAGATAGGATAGAGATGATAGATGATAGAGTTGAATGAGACAGCTATGATGGCTTCTTCAGAAGCTGAAGCTCTTTACTAAGAAAAAATGCTACTAGCAAAGCACTTCTTTGCAGACACAACTTATAAATTAGATAGGCTATTATAGGATAATAGGATAGCAGTACTTCTGCTTCTCTTTTTCTCTCCCTTTTTCTCCAGGCTGTTCCATGCACAAAGGCTTGCTGGGTCTAATCTTCTGTTTGTTGTAGCAGAAAAGCCAATATGCAATCAGTGTGAATCCACAAAACTTCTCCAAGCAGAGATAAAAGGTATTGGTAATCAGTTGTATTCCAAGTCAGAAACAGTATAATAGATGGTATGCCTATTATTAACTGATGTTTTTTCTGGTGTATTTTTATAAATATTACTTGAGATACATTTCCCATAACTAGTTTGACGTTCATATTATCACAAATAGTTTAAACATACAATCATCTGAACTCAAATCCATTACAATTTTGTAGACTATGTAGATAAATGTAAAAGGAAATTTTGTAACAATTTAAGACAAGTTACATTATATCAGACCAAACGGCATCTGGTCCAACAATCTGTACCTGCAGTAGTGGAGTTCTTGGTGTTCTCTGAGCTTAGTTGTTTGCTTGCAGACATTTTATTACCCAACTAGGTAACATCAGTGCTCAAGATACATATCTTCTCCTCTATTATACCTGCAATAGCCAAACAGGTCTATGGAAAATCCACAACAGGCCATAAACTCCAACTCAGAGATACATTACATCAGATAGTAGAAGTAATCCAAAGTGGTCATGACTAATTGACAACTAACCAATGATTAATTGCTCTGGAGACCCAAGAAGGGGAAGAAGGAAGTGCATGCAGAATTTTAACATGATATTGTATAACGTTTATAAATATAGTTTAAAATAGATCAAGTTGAAGACAAACTGCCTAGAACCAGAGAGCTGCACTGAAAGACAGGAGCTATACTCTCCTGTATAAATGCACACACATGTAATTTCCCTCATCCATCTCCACCCAACATCAGAATTCCTGCAAGGAAAGCAATTTCCCTCCTTTCCTCTCAAGCACCTTTCAGGAGAGAAAATGAATCAAGTGACAAAAGAAAGGCAGCATCTCCAACCAATATTATTCAAAGTGAGGGAAGAAGGATACTTCTTGCTCCGTTCCTCTTTTCTTTCCATCCCAAAGCGCAGTGAGTTGCTGGAATGACCTACTTTCCTGTGCTATAAGACAACCCAACAATCAGCTGACCAATATATTTTATGCATTACAATTTTTTGTGTATGACAAGCTGCTAGGGAGTCAAACAAAAGGCCATCTAGTCTATTTACTCCTTGTTTACAAATATTTTTATTTCTATAGGAGCCCATTTAAATATACTGGCCATTGAGAACTTTCACAAAAATAGTCCTTTCACGTTTTTTTTTTCCTCCCACCACTCACCATTTACATTGATACAATTACAGACTTTAGAGAGAGGAAAACAAAAACAAGGAAGGATTTGAGGAAGGACAGAAATCACAAAAATTAGGTTGGAATACAGGAGCAGTTCAATATTCGGAGATAATTTAATCTGTTAGCATTTGTATTCTATTTTTTTAATCTTCTAATTCACATCATTTTAATCTGTCTAATGTTGTTTATCTTCTGCTTCATTTGGCTGATACCACGCAAAGCTCCTCCAGGAGATCGCAATCAATGTGAGCTAGTAGAGAAGCCACGTTACCGGAAGGGTCCCCACATCTGTTTTGATTACAATGCAACTGTAAGTAAAAGGAGGGATAATTAATGCTATATATATGGAATGCGACATCTGAAATGATTCTGCTCTAGGGAGGAGGATATCCTAGGACAGTGATGGTGAAACTTTTAGAGACTGAGTGCCCCAAAACTGGCCCCGCCCCACTCCACCCCCTGCCCTTGTCCCACTCCCACCCCATCCCCTGTCCCACCTGCCCACAGGGCCACTTACCACCTCCAGGGCCCACCACAAATCGCCCAGGCAGCCCAGCAGTGCCATGGCGGCCACACCCTCTGTCTGTGCCCTGAAGCATCAACTGTGCGCGATGGGATGTGAGGGCAGAGTCTTGTGTATGCTGCCTGGCTGCCATGTCCTTGCCTGCGCTGCTCTGTGTGGGCCACGCTCGGGGGCGACTCTCCTCCAGGGGGCTGCTGGTGAGGAGGGTGTCGTGGAGGGAGGCGAGGCTGGGGCAACAGCACGTGTACCCACAGAGAGGGCTCTGAGTGCCGCCTCTGGCACGTGTGCCATAGGTTCACCACCACTGTCCTAGGAAATTTAAAAACAATAGGCAGAAACTTTCCTTCTGCTATGTAGGAAAATGTTCACTTTTTTAAAATAATTTTTATCAAGAAATTTTTAACAAAGCAAAAACCATAACAGAAAGTAAAAATAATAAAGAGAAGTAGTAAATAGTGAAAAAAAAGGGAAGGAAAGGAGGAAGGGAAGGGAAGAAAAGGGCAAAATGAAAGGGAAAGGTTATAGAGTCTTCCAGTCTTGGCAGTCTTGGCAGTCATTATAAATACATTCCAGTCTTGGCAGTCATTATAAATACATCTATATTGTGCCTCTGCCTCTAGAAAATATTCACTTTCAACTAACAGAATGAAGGTTATTGGACTCTAGAAGAGTGGTGGCGAACCTATGGCATGGGTGCCAGAGGCGGCACTCGGAGCCCTCTCTGTGGGCACACGTGCCGTTGCCCCAGCCTCGCCTCCCTCCACGACCCCCTCCTCACCAGCAGCCACCGTGGAGGAGAGTCACCCCAAGCGTGGCCCATGCGGAGCAGTGCAGCCAAGGATATGGCAGCCAGGCAGCATAGACAAGTTGATGCTGCAGGGTGCAGGCAGAGGGCGTGGCCGCCATGGCACTGCTGGGCGATCTGCAGCGGGCCCTGGAGACAGTGAGTGGTGCTGCGGGCAGGTGGGGTGGGGTGGAGTGGGAGCGGGGTGGAGGGTGGAGTGTGGGTGGGGCCAGTTTTGGGGCACTCAGTCTCTAAAAGATTCGCCATCACTGTTCTAGAACCATTAATACAGCTACTCTTTTTTTTGCTGCTTGTGAATTGTTTCTTTTTCTAAAGAAAATAATAAACTAGATGAAAAAAACAAATGTGCATGACAAGAGGCATAGCAGTACCTACACCCGATGCAATTTTGATGAGTTATTGTATGTATACATCATAAAAGACTCTCTGAAAGAACCTTTGAAAATTAATTCTTAAATAAATGCTGCAAAAAAATGGCATGAATTTTAACTTTTTTTTGAACAAGACATTGGTCTGGATGTCCTTTTAATCTCATTGTACTTTATTCGTGATCCTGAAAACAGTAAAATTTATTCTTTTCCTGCTAATGAATCTATGAAACTTAAGTTTATTCCAGAATCCTAGATATTCAAAACTGTTCTAATAGAACAAGGAATAGAGGAAATAAGGCCTTGGATAATGCACAAATTTATTTGCATGATTATTTTCCTTAAAACAAACAAAATTTAAAAATACATATAGCAAATTTCAGCAAGAAAACAGATATATATATACATGAGTTTCAGCAAAAGCAAGTATCCTTAAAGAAATCTCTCTCTCTCTCTCTCTCTCTCTCTCTCTCTCTCTCTCTCTCTCTCTCTAGGAAGACACCTCGGATTGTGGCAGAGGGGCCTCCTTCAGACCTTCCTTGAATATCTTGTTATGCTTGCAGTTATTCCTTCTCTATTTGACTGCAAGTCACCATTCGCTGCCCTTGGCATTTTGCCTTTGAAACGACCATTTAGCTTAACCCATCCTTTTTATTTTATGCACATCATCATCCCCTCCAGACTTGCTAGAGGATGACTTCTGCCTAGCCCCATCAGTTCTGGCTGCACTTGGCATTCACTCATGAGGATTGTTGCTTTCTTTACTCAGAAGTCCAGAAGCTCTTCTTATTTATTTTTTTTTCCTTTTCCTCCATCAATCCTTGCCTTTCCGGTGTCTCTGCACAGCAGATTGTGCTAAAGAGATCTTTGAGATGATGAGGGGAAGCATGGACCACCGTGATCTTCTCCACACAGGGAACATTCTTGAGCTTTGATTCATTGTTCCCCTTTCCACTCATTGAGCTGTTGGCCAAATACAAAGAATACGGCCCCATGATTTTATTTTTCCATTGAATCTGTGGAATTCTGGGAGACCTTTGTTAGTTTTCTTGTGAAGGACTTTTATTATGGTTTTAAAAGTATTTAATCAACAATACTGATGATACTATTTTGTCTCAAGTAACGTACCTTACCATTCCAATAATGAAAACTGCAAAAACAACACCAATCATTATAACCGAAAAAATGGATAGTCTTGCCAAATTGATTCTATAACCTAGCAAACCTTCCAGCTAATTCCAGTAGCTTTTCAGACTCAAAGTAATCTTATAAGATCACCCCAATATCATTCCACCCAATTCACTATGAGTTTTCCAGGGCCATTGTTATTTCTGCCTTTCAATAGGTGGATCCCATCTCCAATCAATGATGAATTATTTTCATCCTAAACAGTTTAATCTAGATCTTTCAACATCTGATTTCCAAACATTAAGCCTGAAAGATCAGAGCATTTATTGTCAGCAAGAAAGAAACATGCACAAATGCAGAGGATATCACTTGAATTTTAAGGTCGGAATTATTCATTTAAACTGCTTATTCTGTAAAGAGGACTTGAAAACCAAGCAGGGCAGAAAGAAGAGGGTGAAGATGCTTTTGTATACCATTCCAGTAATCCATGTAAGGTTGGAGGATGCAGCAACTGAGACAATCTTTAAAAAATGAATAGCAAGATAGAATGCAAGCAACAATTATGGTTTAAATCCAGCAGCCCCGTTGATTATTTTCCTGCTTTCCCATTTCTTATTTGAACCAATTGAAAAAACATAATTAGCTATTTTAAGAGCTGTTCTCCCAAATCACTATGAAGTCTTCAGTTGGTAGCTTTGCCGTATCCAATCTTTAAGATAAGCCAATTATTGAGATGACTTAGACAAAGATGAAGTCTCTTTTCTTCAGTTTCTTTTTTTCTAAATTTTAAAGCATATTGTCCACCCTAGTGGAGGCAGCACTGTGTGCCACACCAACCTATGAAGATGATAGCCAAAGTTTTTCTTCGTAGACTTGTGCAGAAATCTAACTGTACGCTTATTGTTTGTGTACTTGAGTCTGGAGGAAGTGAAAATGTTCTGCTTCACAATGATGGCTGTTAAAATGTCTGCCACTCAGCTCAGACCCCAACAGAGCACCTCTGATGACTCTGCAAGTGTACATTTCACGTCTGGAATTATTTTAAGTAGTTGCAACTATTGAAGAATTAAAAGGAAGTATAATACTGGAATTCATCAACTGATGTCCTTTAAAAAAAAAGGCTGTTTTTAGGATTTGTCTTGAGCAGATTTCCAATCTTTATGCCTGTTAACATATGATAATAAGTACATCTTGCTACATACTATGAACTGAAATGCCTGCAGTCCCCTGACAATTCTGGAAGATCCTTCTCGTCAGCCAAATATACCCCACTGCACTGCCTCTACACTTGAAATAGCCAGCAAAGTGAGAAGAATCCTGTTTTGTTTCATTTCATTTCGTTTTGTTCCGTTTTGTTCCTGCTTGATGTTGTAAGAGAGCCAGAACCTTCTGGGCAATATGGGGAACTGCAGACATATGATCCAATTTCATCAAGGAAAAACTGTTGGTTGCAATGCCAAGAACTGCATGAGTTTTTCCCTCTGGCACAAGGTTGATTGCTGTTATAAAAGCCTGCTAAAATATTGTACACAGTGATGCATTCATTTCAACTTAATATGCTCAGTTCTTTAATCCAGACTTCTTTTAATCCAAACACACCGCCTGTTATGAATTATTCAACTGCTATGGATTTCATTTTCATTTCAACTGCTATGAAAATCTGGAAAGCAAACTGTAGGTCATAATTACTTCAACCTGAAGTTTTCTAAAGAGGAAGACAATCCAGTTTGATTAATAACTTCAGATTCTGTTTGAATCAAACTTTCTGTGGTCTTTGTATTGTGCTTTAGTAGTAAACCAGGATTTTGGAGAAAAGCCTTCTGATCTCACAACTTACATGTTAATTCAGCCTCTGCCATTTATAATGACCCCACCAGTTGTTTAATTGAAAAAAATAGTGCAGCTTGGAAGGTGTACAATTGTTGAATGCAACCCATTCCTCAGCCAATACTGCAGGCATATCAGACAAAATTATTTACTGATGTTCTTAGAAGTAAGATTTCTGTGGTCCTCATAATATAATCTAAAGAGTCAAAAGCATAATACTTCTGTAATAATTATGGCTGCAAAGTGCAAATATGTGGTGCTTGGAACTATTGTAGGAAAAAAATACTTGACAAATCTGGAAGTAGAACCAATGGTGCACTGCTTGCTTTTCAGTAAACTTTGTTCTTGAGACTAGGAAATTCTTAATCTCTCAAAAGCTATCTTCATTCAAATTCCTTTGTGTACATATAACCCTCCCCCAAGTAAATCCTCGTTTTCAAGTAAGCAACTAAAAAGACTTCTCCTTCCAAGTCTGCATTTTTTTTCCAGACTGCTTATATACACAACAATTGCACTGGTGCTAAGGATAGTAGTTCTGCTTAATTGGCTTTGTATAGATTTCTACAGAAGTAAACTGGGAGATTATAAATACATAGCTCTAACTAACTCTGATGTATGGTAAAGATAGTGCCATTATTCCTTGTGTATACTACCAGTGATAATCAATTGTGCTGGTTGTGAATACACTCTCAGAATCTCCCTGGTTTCTTCTGAGCAGAAACTACAAAATTGTGCCAAATTGTGTGATTGTTTTGTGATGTGGGCAACTGTCTGTAGTGTGCTTGCTGAAAACCCCCAGATTCATTTTACGTTAGTCTGAGTAAAACCTCTTGTCTTCCTTATGTCACTTTGTCTGTGACTGTTTGGCTAGTGCTCTGGAGCTAGTATATATTCATCAACAACAGATATTCAAAGTGGGAAAAATTAGGAGCACAGAAAGTATATATGGAAACGATATTGGACCTGAAGTGCTTCTCATTCATACAAGAAGCTGATTGGATAACATGGCCTTTCCCTGCTTTTGAATATCTTACCACTTCATCACTGTTAATGGCCATGACATACTTCTTAGTCAGCCTCTTTGTTCTTGCTAAATTATTCAAGGTCAAAGCTAAAATTTGCTGGGGTTGAACTGGTACTCTTTTCATTCTTGACTTTTGGCCGATGCCCTCCAAGATGTTGGGTTGTTTTTTTTGTTGTTGTTGTTTGGTGAAATTTTATAGTCATAATGGGGTACATTTTGTTGTTTACATACATATACATACAGATGTATTTATGTACGTAATAACCAAAGACAGGTTAAAAAACATACCTTAAGTGGTTCTATAATGGTGCAAGTATATCTTGTAATTCCTATGATTTTTTTCCCTTCCTTGAGGTGAGTCTGTTTCCAGATATCCTTATTTTAAGAGGACATTTATGTCACTGCTGAAAGCACTGGTTGGGTCCTCTGGCTTGTTTTTTTTTCATACTAGATTTAGAATTGCTTGCTTTAAAACATATTTTTAAAACTCCAATCATGTACATCTTTAAAATAATAATAATAATAGTTGTTGTTCTGAAATGCCAAGAAATCTGGAAGCAGCAGGGGAAAGATGGTTTAGTAGCATTATAGGTTCTAGCCAATGACTGCTATGCCCAGGCAGCTTTTTTTACAAACATATAGAACTGATTTCTCCTGAGCTTGGTCCAGATTGGATAAATCACTGAATTGATACACCTCTGTTGCCATGAGAGATAATGACTCTGTTTTCAGAACAATTTTTTGTCTGGGAAAGCAATGCTCTTGGAGAGGAATATGAGCAATGCTGATAAAGAAGTCCCACATAACAGAGCTAACTTCAGAGGACCACTTATGGAACAGTATTATCCTTTCTAATAATTATAGCGTTTGTTCAGCTTTAGCTGGAGTCTATTCACCTTCAGTTTGGGTAGACGTTTCATAGGTTTTTTTAATGTCGGTGCAATTCTAGTTGAATAACTCCCTTACCATTAGTTGATTCTAGACTCAAGTTCAGAAGGGAAAGGAAATGGCAGAATGGAGAACACTGGAAGTGAAATATAAAAACAGACCCGCAGCAGAAGACATATTGAACTTAGCAAATTGTAGATATTGCCTTGATTACTACATATCAAACATGATTCAGCCTCTTCATTTATCAGTCAGGGAATCACTGAGTAGCATGTCAGAGAAATACTGCCCTGCCTCCAATTACTTCAGTTGCGATATATGCAAAAATCACTGGTTAGAAAAGAATTTCCTGTTATTTACCTATATGTTCAATGGTAATCCTTTCTCACATTTTTCACAATTAGTACAAAAAGAAAGCAACGTTTTGAGCAAACGTTTCCAGAGTTAGAGAATCAGCATTTGGAAGATGAAACTATGGCCCATTTTTCAATCCAAGTTGATTTCAATTTTTGGAGAGGGAATTGGGGTGGGCAAGATTGATGTTTGTGCATGAGCTAATCATATTGCAATAAGTGTGGGTCTGGACAGAAATACTTTGCTCTTTCCCTGCTATTGTAGCAAAATTTGCCTTCTGAAAATGAACTTTTCAGACGTATGTGTAAATATAAGCTGAGCTAGGCAACAACCAGCTCTGTTGAAACAGTTGTGTAAACAGGAACTGGAATGTCCATTCACATAATTTGTGTTATCTGCAGCTTATCTTAGAGTCTGAATGGTTGGTGCTATGTCCCAGTCAGAATCACTTCTATATTGTCATTAAGTCTTCCTCCAGTCTTTTTTTTTCCTCACTTATGATGGATGAAGCTGGTATTGATTGATAGTCGAGGATACGTTTGGAAAAAGGAAGCCAAAAGCATGACCATTTTGCTTCTATCACCTGAGGAAATCAGAAGTTTCATAGGCTGCACAAAAAGAAAACCCATACAAGAAACAGAATGGTGATATTATCCAAAGCTGTAAAAGCAGAAAATATCGTTCTGAAGAAAGTAAAATATGATGAAACTGGAAGAATTAAAAGGAACATTCAATTGACATAAAGCATCAGCAAAGAAAATCTCATGTAATTATTAACCGTGCAAAGAATTATGAACTTGGATTAAACCAATTTCCTGAATTCAGAGAAGTAGGGAAAATGCTTTGGAGAAAATGAATCTTCAAAGAAGAGTCTCTAGAGAGCAAAGAACTCTTTATTTTAACCTTGTCAATCCTAGTTAGAAACTTTTTTTCTAGAAAAAGTAAAGGACTATGTGAAAATAAATTCCATTGACCCTATGTGCTGAGTTCTTCATACAAAGACATATTAGCAGAGGTGAAACGTAGTCATTTTTCAATCCACCTATCATGCCTAATTCCTTTTAAAATCAGTTTGGACAAAATTTGTGGTAGAGTAGAGTAGAGAAGTAAGGAAAGGAAGGGGGAGATCCATGATTTTGACAAGATCTTGGAAATTTGAATCCAAAGTCAAGGGACACGAGGTGATTCACTGATAATGACAAGGTTAAAGGTCATTTTGCTTGTAGCTTTTTAGTGTGTGTTTGGTTATGTATATGGGAACTGTGCTTTGACCAGATGGCTGGCTGTGTTTACCAGGAGTGTATGTAAATCTGTAGTCTAGTTGGGTGCTGCTCATCTGAGAAAAACAATGAAAAATATACATATCTATAAATATATATTATATTTTAAGTTAAGAAAATAAAATAAAACATCAAGTTGCTCTTCTTATAGCTGCTTGAATCCTATTCCTATCATTGTTCACTTAAAAAGCTTTCTTCCAATAATTCATTTTTTGTTACATTAATTTTGTTTTGTACAGAAGAGTTGAACAATTTTAAAAAAGACTAAAATCTTTGTAAAATATTGTGTGTGTGATTCCTTGTAAAATATTTTCAAATTGTTTATTACAGAGGATCAGTTATTAAATAATGTTCATATTTTCACTTCAAATGCAGTGGGCTTTTTCTTGATTATTAAATGGTAAAAACAGATGGGCAGATAAATTTCTCTTATAATTTGATAATTACTGTTCCTGTTTCTCAAGTCATAATTTTACTGAATGAAACAAAAAAATAAGACTCAATAGTTTTGCAATCTTATTTTAAGCTACTATCAGATTTCTGAAATGAGGCTTAATTTATGGTCCTCTATTAATTCCATATTTGAACAAGAGTTATAAAGCTCTCTGTTTTATTTCTTACCATCAGCAAGCTTTGCAGACATAGCTTCCCCCCCCCTTACTAATAACATAGGAAGAAACAGAAATAGGTAGTAGAATTTTAACATGATCTTCTAACAATTTTCCATCAGTCAGAGACTATGCCATATGCTGAAGGTTAATATTTGCAAGTCTGTGCCTTTTGTTTATAAGCAAACTTTTTAATGTACATTTCCATTTATACATTTTGCCAAACATGGATGATTATATCTCTGGTGAATATAGGAGGATATGATTTCAAAATGTAAATACATCATATAATTAAACACTTTCAGAAAACAGAACCTCTGGGGTTAATTTTTTTTGATAAATCCAAAAAGAAAGGCCACTTTATAAAGTTTGAGTTAAGCTGTCATCAGCTTTGTAGATAAGCATGTGGAAATGTTTGACTAATACATATACCTAAACAAACTTGTTTGTTATTTTTAACAATGTCCTGAACAGGTAGTGATGGCATGATGGAGATGGCAATTATCCATTTTAAAATTTCCTGGCCTGTTTGTCAGTCAGAGACAGAAATGCGGAATACAAATATCTAAATAAAATTCTTTAAGTATAAGAAAAGCAGTGAGCATTCTGAAATCTATATCAATTCTCCTGCTGACAGATTATAATAAACTAAACAAATAATGGATCGGAAACACAAAGCATCTGAATCTCATAGTGCATTTGATGCACCCCTTTATAGATACCTATGAATTCTCTTGCTCCCTGCTCGTCTGTGCTCTTTTGATTAGATTGTGTTACCGCCTTTCTTTATTTCCTAGAAACTTCTATTTCTGCAGACTCTTAACGTCCTAGAACAGAAGTCCTCAACCTTTTGGGCACCAGGGACCAGGGAGAGATTTTTCCGTGGACCGGAGGGTGCATGGTTTTGTGTGCTGACTGCATCTCAAGGATGGGGCTTTGCTTGTTTGTGTGGACCTGTTGCTGGCATGCCGCGGCCCGGTACTGGTCCACAGCCCGGGGGTTGGGGCCCCTGTCCTAGAACCCTTGTAACGTATAAGCCCAACGTAAGATAACCTGACTTTGGTATTGGGCAAGTTCAATGGTCACTGGGCCTTGAATAAGGAGAGAGTAATTCCCATAAAGAAGAGACTAAAAAGTTTGGGACTTAAAACAAATAACACAATAACACAATAACCTTATCTAGACTTGTTGGAAGATCTCTTTGAGTGTAAAACCTTCAGGTTACTATGTAAGTAAGGTTCAAGATATGCTGTGCAGTCTCCTCTGTTAAATCATTAACTATTCCCTCTTCATTTACCCAACAAAAGAATATATCATGTATATACATACTGGTAAGTGATCTGGGAAAGATAAACATATCCCTCATAGAAAAATAAGAAAAAAAGCTGATCTAGTAAAGCAAGCAAAGTAATGCATAAACATAAGAATATTCTATTATATACACATACCTTACATACTATATATTTTTTCAGTTCTGCCCTCTACCTTAGAACTATTCTATAATTGAGTAAATAACATTCCAGTGACTGCATACTACTCCTGCAAGACCATGTTCACTTAAAAAAAAAAGGATTATTCATCTGTTAATAATAAAGTGGCAGTAAGTCTGATACAGGTAGTTCTTGACTTACAACCACAACTGAGCCCCAGAATTTGTGTTGCTACGTGAGACATTTGTTAAGTGAATTTTGTCCCATTTTATGACTTTTCTTGCCACATTTGTTAAGTGAATCTGGCTTTCCCATTGACTTTGCTTGTCAGAAGGTCACAAAAGGTGATCACATGATCCCGCAACACTGCAACCATCATAAATACAAATCAGTTGCCAAGCATCCGAATTTTGATCATGTGACCATGAAGATGCAGCAAGAGTCATAAGTGTGAAAAATTGTCATAACTTTTTTCAGTGCCATTGTAACTTTGAGCAGTCACTAAACAAACTGTTATAAGTTGAGGACTACCTGTATTATATATGGCTGCCATTTTTTTCTCAAGTACAAACTGAGATGTACTTAACAACCAAAACATAGTGCTCAGTTTTATTGTCTCTGTCATTGTACCTCTAGTGTGCCTGATCCCTGGACTTTAAAAAAGCTTATGTTTTTCAAATAGGAAACTCAAGGATCAGCCTCATGTTTGCTTCCTAGAATGTCTATGGCCCACAACTGAGTCCCATTAGCATTCTTACAAAATAAACAAGATGCTTGGCTATACTATTTGGAAGGGAGTCCATTTGCCTGGAAAAGACAAAGGCAGAAATGATGACACCAGGCTGCATACAGCCATTTGTTACTTTAGGGCTTTGTTGTGGACTGGGCCTGATCAAAATGCCACATGTAACCAATAGCCCAAACAGATATTGACGCTAGGCTTCAAAAATTCAACTATTTGCTCTACTCACAAAAATCCAGCTTCCTTAAGTAATATATGCAACACTATTTGTGAACAAAACCACTAATCCCCTTGCAAGCAAACCATTACTTACAAAATGTCAAACCCAAGCTAAAATGTACTGGATATGGCTAGTGCCAAAGTGCAATGTTTGATTCCACTTGCTAAAAGAATATAGTTTCCACTCTATGCTCTCCATTACCTATACCAGTAATGGCGAACCTTTTAGAGACCGAGTGCCCAAAAACTGGTCCCGCCCCTGCTCCACCCCCCTGCCCTTCCCTGCTCCACCCTCCATTCCCCACCCCACCTGCCTGCAGGGCCACTCACCACCTCCAGGGCCCACCACAGATCGCCCAGGCAACCCATCAGCGCTATGGCAGTCACGTCCTCTGCCTACGCCCTTCAGCATCAAGTGTGCATGATGGGGTGTGAGGGCAGAGTCTTGTCTATGCTGCCTGGCTGCCATGTCCTTGGCTGCACTGCTCCACGTAAGCCACGCTCAGGGGCGACTCTCCTTCATGGGGGCTGCTGGAGAGGAGGGGGTCGCGGGGGGAGGCGAGGCTGGGGCAACGGCACGTGTGCCCACAGAGAGGGCTCTGAGTGCTGCCTCTGGCACCCGTGCTATAGGTTCGCCACCACTGGCCTATACTGTGGCACACCACTTTAAATCAGGATTGTGTTCTGACGATCAGACAGTGGAAAAAAACTGACAGTTCTGTGCCAAATAGCTGTGGAATTAACTGGGATCTAAAGACAGAGATACCATTAAAAAAGCACTTGAATTAAAAAATATCAAAGGCTCTGAAATCTGGTCAACCTAAGCAGCAGCAACTAATGGTGGGGGGGAAGAGAAGGGGAGATTGCATGGTAAAGTATGTGACTTTTTTCTCTGCTGTTCTTCCTAATGTCTATCAGATAATATTGTAATAATAGTTTATTGATTAGCAATTAGGGCATACCAGAATATAAAATACAGACCAATAAGACCATGTGTAACAAAACAGAGTAAAAGGCAGAACTGAAAATTATAAATCATATTTGTTTTCCCTCTACTCGATTGCATCACATGACATATCGTGATGTATCGTGATGTATCACGATGTTTTTTGTCTTTGTGGAGCCGGGATGGGTGTGGCCTGCACATGACGTATCCGGCCCCTGGGCCGCCAGTTTAATACCCCTGCTCTACAATTTACCCCAATCAGATCTATGTATGTAGTTCTCAATTGCACTGTTTTGTTCATATAAGGGACTGCGTTATTTGTAATATTTGGATTCTGGCTGCATACAAAATATGGCATTTTAATGTACTGATCCCAGTAGGCTATTTGTCTAATGTATGATCCAAGAGATTGATCTCTCTCTTTCTTATGCAGTTGGCATTCAAACAATGTATGAGTTATGGCCTCTAACTCTGGAGCGCCACAAATACAAGTACATTTATCATAACAAACTTAGTTAAATGTTCCATTGTGTCCAAGTACTCAAATGTCAGCCAAAATGGAGTGAATTTTAACAAATATATAAATTCAGTATTTAAGCATTTGTCAAAACCATTGCCAGTCAGAACAAGATAGAATAAAGTTAATTTGCTAGCCCATAGCATGGTTAAACTGACAGGTCACAAATATATATCTGCAAAGCTCTTCTGAGGATTATTCTAGCACCTGGTGAATAAAGATTCTCAGATTCCCCTGAGTTAAACTTGAACTGGGCATGACCTGCTGAGTTGATCAAAGCATCTTACAACCTGAGAAAGTGCACAGATCCTTTAGGCTGTTAGCCTGATCTTGTGTTTTAGATGCATGTCATTCCTGGTTGGTGAAGGCCCAGATGCTGAGTTATCACCTATAAATGGTTACCACTTTTCATGGCATAGGGTTTGGTTACATGAAGCATTGCCTGGCTCCCATTATTTCTGTTCATCCAGTAAGATTTGACAGGGTGAGCACACATTTTATTTTATTTTATTAAGAAATATCATCTTCTCTGTTGCCTGTTCTCTGGAATAGAGTCCCTCTAGAGCAGAGGTCCCCAACCTTTTGGGAATCAGGGACCAGTTCCGCGGAAAGAGGTTTTTCCGCAGACTGGAAGGTGTGTGGCTTTGTGTGTTGCCCGCATCCCGCGGATGGGGCTTTGCTTGTTTGTGCAGACTGGTTGCTGGCTTGCTGTGCCCCAGTACTGGTCCCCGGATTGGGGGTTGGGGATCCCTGCTTTAGAGGTTCAGACCACTCTGAACTTGCAAGATTTTACATGTTCTTTAAACATCTGGCTTTTCTCTGAGTTCCTTGGATAGGTTGTAGTGTGCTACTGATGAGTTTTAATTTTTTCTTGTGAAATGTTTCCTCATATAAGGGCAGTTCTTTCTTGTTCTTTCTTGTGTTTTTAGGTATTGTACCAGCCAGAGCAGGGTTTGAGTTGGGGCAGCTTTATAAATCAAAATTATAAATAAAAACACAAGTTGTAGCAGGGGAAACAAACTCTGTTTTGGTTTTTTCTGCTGATTACAGGTGAAAAGTCATGGGGAAGAACCCAAACAAAATTTCATGCTACACTATTTTTACAGAACTACAGGACTGCTGATTTTTGCTTAGAATATTATCTTTCCAAAACCTGAACAAGGATATCATTAATCATTTTTAGTATAGCAGCTATAGCTGAACTAAATACTGTTTGCCAGCAGATGGTGCAAGTTTGAATGGGTGCTGAGAATGGTGAGGTTTGACACCTTTCAGACTGCAGTGGCAAACACTAAAGCTTTACTGTAGCTTTCCCAATGCTCTTTAAAACCCCTTCTCTTCACCTGTTGCCTGTCAGTGAAGCTATTTCTCAATAAGAAAGCACTCTTCTGAATGTCTTCTAAATCTGGATTCAGAAGTAGCCTGACTGACAATAAAAGGATGAAGCAAGAAGGAGATCTCCAAGTGCTTGTGCTGTCTTTCGGGCGATTTCTAAATATGAATATAGTTCTTTTCTAAAAGCAAACTACAGAACTATACATCAACAAAAATCAGCATTCAAAATGAATGAATGGAATAAGCCACTGTCTAAAAGAATGTGCAGCTTTGGTGAAAGTCCTCAGTGATATCCTTGTCAAATTCAATGCCTGAAGCCCCAAAGAAACCAAGACAGAGACAACCACTGGCAGTGGGAAAGAAAAAAGGGACAGGAATTTAAGGGAAATAAAAGGTAAGGACCGAATGGAAGACATTCCCAGGGAATAAGGTATATCCCCGAGATTCAACCTTAAAATGGGAAATTGCAGCAATAAAAAGGACACATGGTCAAGTGGCGACAAAGTTGCCAAAAGGGAAACTACCCAGGGATACACCAGTGGGTTGCATATTGGCTAATTTTGATAGCTTAGGGGGACAAGATATAGGGACTAAGGCAGCCTTTTCTCACTATTGTGTGTTAGTATGGCCATACTCAAAATTAGATAAACCAGGAGGCTTTTGGCCACCACAAGGAGCAATCAATCTCCAATTAATTAGAAAAGTAAGAATTACCCTCTTGGAACAGAAAAGGCATACTAAAATTTAGTTCTTAGAGCTCTTTGTGAAATTAGCAAATAGTCCATTTTTGTTGTAAGACTGCGGTTGCAAAGGAACTTTTGTACGTAAAGCACAGGATCCTAAGTCAAGAAAGCCCAGTGCTCCCCGGTTTTACCGAAGGATCCTGAGAATGACCTATCACCTGGTTTATCTATGGGACAAACTACCCCTGATGGTAGAATTCAAGAGGGGCATGGCAGCAGGAGAATAAAGAGATCAGGAAATGGGACACTCCTGTAACAGTTGGTCCAAAACTGAGTTAAAAACTGAGATACAGGCTCCACTGAAAGTATAGTGGCAGGAGCAGTGGGCAGACCATGCTGAATATTAGTCTACAACCCATTTTCTACTTCAGATCTCTACAATTGGAAACAGCAAACCTGTTATAGGGAAAACCCAGAGAAAACACATTCTCTGTTTCTGTCTATCTTTAGAACACATAACCCCACCTGGGCAGATATTCAAACATTGATGGATATTCTTCTAACACTGGAAGAACGGAGGCTGGTGAGTGGAGCAATGGAGTAGAAATTAGAGAAATAATATAATGATGATCCTCATTGGGAATATCCCCTCATGGAGCCGGAATGGAATCCAGATGATAACCAGAGATATTGAAAGGGTTCGGAATTATCTGTCTTTGGTCTTGTATGGAATCCAGAATGGAGTTCCCAAGATCAAAAATCTCTCAAAAATGTATGAAATTAAGCAAAAGAAGGATGAGAGTCCTGGGGACTTTCTTGAGAGAATATCAGGTTTTCAGGCAATATACCAATCTAAACCCTGAGGCAAAAACCAGAGAATGTTGAATAAGATCTTTATAGGACAGTCGGCAGAACATATTAGGAGGAAGTTACAAGAAAATAAAAGGAGGTCCAGGAAAATTTACTTCAGAATTAGATGAGCTACTGTAGCTTACAAAGTCTTCACCAGCAGAGGACAAGAAAAAGGTAAGTGCAAAAAGCCTGCCGAAACGCCATCCTCCTAGCCAACACCCTTAGGCAGAAAAGAGGCCAGTGGGGGTTTGACAGATTCTAACTTGATTCCTGGCCCACCACTCATGCAAATTGAGCTACATGCCCACACTCTTTGGCCAGCCATTTGTGTGGGCCAGTAGTGGGCCATGGCCCAGGGGTTGGGGACCCCTGCCTTAAGGGGAAAAAGTAGCAGGAGAGAAAAAATATTACCGGAACATTGAAACACTTAGGGACAATTGTAAGCTGTTATCTCAGGTAGAAAAAAATTATTGGGCCATATCAATGCAATAGTTAGAGGACTAATAAGGCAATGCTCTGTGTTTGTGAAAAAATAAATACCAGGTTTCAAGTTTTAAATGTTCTCGGTTTCTCCAGTAACAATCCAGAAATTATTTTTTTTTTATTTCTTTGATGAGTACAAAGCCAATCTTTCTAACAAGCACTTGATAAGTTAAGGCCATAATTATGCTATCCCCATCCCAAAGATACAGAATGTGAGCAAATTTAAGAAATGTAGAGCTCTGTATTCCATTCTTTAGTGCTCAGCCAATTTCTCAATAGCCATCATACAAACAAGATTATGTCATCACAGTAACTGTAGCTACTTCCAGAATATTTGCAACATTTCTTATGACATAATTTCATTACAAAATAGGAAATGAAAGAGTATGTCCTGTTATCCAGTTCCCTTCCAATTATTTTACAATAAAATACTTGGTGCAGATGAGAATTAGATAACTGATTCTAAAATAACCTATTTGCCCATCATCAACAGGCATAGCCGCTCCCTGAAACAATTATCATCATGCCTCCTTGTAGAAACTGGGAGACTGTGAGCTTTAGTTCTCCATTAGACATGAAAGCTGCTTTACTGCTGGGTAACCTTGTGCCAGTCATTCGCTCAGCCAGATCCACCTCCTAGCACATGTGTGGTGAAAGGATTTTATTGTGCTTATGATTTTAGTATGTTTAAGTTTGACATTAGCATTTATTTTACATATAGTAACCATTTTATATTGATACATATAGTGTTATCATGTAATCATTGTTTTGTTATTTTGTAATCATTATTTTGTAGTTAATTGCTTGATCAGATGCTTTATATATATATTGGAAAAGTAAGGGCTTCATGCTTTAGGTATAGGTGATTGCTTATATGAAAAGAGCACAGTAAGGGGAGGGGGAAAGGAGTTACGAATGGAGCCTGGGTTGCTGTGTATGAGTCATCATCTAGGAATTGTTTTTTTGTGCCATCTTATGCCTGGTACCAAGACCTGATCTCTTTGTTCTGAAAAGGTATAAAAGGTGGAAGACATCTTTTCTGTTTGCTTGCCTTCATTCCTCTACCAGCCACAAAGAGAGATGGGGTCACCCAACTCTGTTTTGATCAAAATAAAAGTTGTTTGCTTGTGAAACCTCGGCTCAGGAGTTTCTTTGGCTCTTTTAAATTCCTGAGTAATGCTGGGGCAATTGTGAGGTTTAGTGGAAAACCTTACAGTGGCACACCTCTGAATTAGGCATTTACAGCAGTACCACATATAGGGCTTCAACTTAAGAATTACAAGTATTCCAAGAGGATATGCCATACATCCAGCTATACTGATGGGTAACAATCATTTTAACAGAGAAACTCTTGGTTGAAATTGCTCTTTGTGTGTCTTTGTATGTGGCAAGGTTTCCCAGCTTGGCAACTTCTAGGCGTGTGAATTTCAACTCAGAATTCTTCTCAATGGCCATACTGGCTGTAGAATACTGGGAGCTGAAGCCCACACTTCTGAAAATGTTGAGAAACTCCCCCTTCCCAAAAAAACCCCGCTTGAATTTGCCCAAATCAGCCCCTTCAGGGCAGCACTTTCTCATTCCTTCATAAACAACCCTTCCCAAAAAAACTCTCATAAAGATCAAATCCACTTGGACTTAGAATAGAGCTGGAAGGGACCTTGGAGGTCTTCTAATCCAGCCCCCTGCTCAAGCAGAAGAACCTATACCATTTCAGATAAATGGCTGTCCAGTCTCTTCTTAAAAACTTCCAGTGTTGGAGCATTCACAGCTTCTGGAGGCAGGTTCTTCCACTGGTTAATTGTTCTAACTGTCAGGAAGTTTCTCCTTAGTTCTAAGTTGCTTTTCTCTTTGGTTCCATCCGTTGCTTCTTGTCCTGCCTTCAGGTGCTTTGGAGAATAGCTTGACTCCCTCTTCTTTGTGGCAGCCCCTGAGATATTGGAACACTGCTATCATGTCTCCCCTCGTCCTTCTCTTCATTAAACTAGACATACCCAATTCCAGCAACCGTTCCCTGTATGTTTTAGCCTCCAGTCCCCCTAATCATCTTGTTGCTCTTCTCTGCATTCTTTCTAGAGTCTCAACACTTAAATAGAAGTTGACGGAAAACTGTTAGCAAATTGTATTACTGGGTGCTTCGTTACACTCTGGGGCGACCTCTCCCTCCTTTCACCCCATTGACTCCCCCACCCAGCCGCCCACGTGCCCTCTCTCTCGCGCGAGAATTTGTGTCCCAGTGCATGCTGGAATCACCCTTTACGCAATAGGTGAGCTTCCATTTCCCATCAGGCACCGGACGGCTCACAGACCAGTCACGCGTGCGCAGGCCTACCGTTTGTTTGCGTTGGAGTCGTGAGAAGCGGGGTCCGGCCTGGAGGAAGAAGAGGCGGCGGCAACAGGAACGCAGCGGGCGTGCCGCCGTGGGGCGGGGCCGCCGGGCGTCGGCTTCGACGGAGCGACTCGGGAGGTGGGGGAGATCTCTGCTTCCGGCGGACAGAGGCCGAAGCGAGGCCTTCCTTGGCAACCTTCCGCCCCTGCCATCGGGTTGAATGGGGCTGCCAGCGCCGCCTTCTCCAAAACGGCCCCGTCGCGCCTTCGCCGTCTGTTAGGCGCTAAAACTCCAGCCTCTCCCGGAGAAGCCGCTTTGGCCGTGCCAATCTCTTTCGGTGGAACAAGGTCGTAAAGGGGCTACGGAGAAGGACTCCGTGCCCCAGAAGCGAAGGAAAGCTGGCTGCTGGGGGAGCGGATGCCGTCCATTTCGAACCAGACTCCCAACTTCGTTTGGGCGCTATGGGGAAAAAGATGACGGAACTGGGAGTACGTTTGCGCTAAGGAAAGAGAGGCTTCCGGGCCACCGAATCCTCACCCTAAGCCAGATTCTTGGATCAAATTCTCTGACTCGTGGGACGGTGCTTTTAGGGGAAACATGAACAGATACCTCCCAGTAGCACGACAGCATTTCCTGGCTGTGTTAGCCAGCACCAGTGTAGTAGTGAAATCTTTATGTGCCATTGTCATTTTGCTCTATCTTCTCTCCTTTGCTGTAGACACAGTGTTTGGACTTGGTGTTACCCCCGGATATCTCTTTCCACCCAACTTTTGGATATGGACGCTGGCAACCCACAGCCTGGTGGAAAAGCACATTTGGGATGTAGGTGTAAGCCTGGTCACCATAGTGGTGGCAGGAAGGTTGCTGGAGCCACTATGGGGTGCCCTGGAACTTTTGATCTTCTTTGCAGTGGTGAATATTTCAGTTGGGCTTCTGGGGGCCTTTGCTTATCTTCTTACTTACATGGCAACATTCAGTCTATCTTACTTATTTTCTGTTCGCATTTATGGAATGCTGGGTTTCCTCGGTGGTGTCTTAGTGGCCCTCAAGCAAACCATAGGTGACAGTACTGTCTTAAAGATACCTCAGGTGCGAATGAAAGTTGTTCCAATGCTCTTGCTTCTCATTCTTTCAGTTTTGAGACTGACTACTCTTATTGAAAGCAACATTTTGGCTTCTTATGGTTTTGGGGTCCTTTCCAGTTGGATATATCTTCGTTTTTACCAGAGGCATAGCCGAGGGCGTGGCGATATGTCAGACCACTTTGCATTTGCCACATTCTTCCCTGAGATCATACAACCTGTGGTTGGTTTGCTGGCTAATCTTGTGCACACCATCTTAGTGAAAGTGAAAGTCTGCCGGAAAACAGTGAAACGTTATGATGTTGGAGCCCCTTCTTCTATTACTATCAGCTTGCCAGGAACAGATCCTCAGGATGCTGAACGAAGGAGGTAATTTTTCTTGAAATGTATTTAGGTTAAACTTTTATGTAATCTATGTTGGAAAGAAAAAGGGAGGAGCTAAGTGAACTATGGCTATTTTTCCAAGATAAAACTTGAAAATAGTCCCTTTTTAAATTGATGTTTTATATTTATGTGCCTTATGTACGTGAGAAAAAATGTACCTTTCTTTGATTTATTGATGGACTTTCTTGTTTGGCTACTACTGAGAGCTCTGCCCTCAGAATATTCTATCAAAGATATGAATACCCTTCCAAGTTGAGATATGCAGAGCAAAGTAAGAGTGAAAAGATACATCTCTCCTGTTCTTGTGCATTTTAAAACAATTCCTTTTCTTTGCAGCAAAGGAGAGAGAAAATATTTAAACCAGAACAAGGAGTTATAGTTGAGATTCAAGAAAACTGTGAATCCAGCTGAATTCTTTTCATGAGGCCTCCAGCCTACTTCTTTAGACTTTCTATTATCAGTATTGCCAACACTAGGAAAAGTGAGTTGTAAGAAAGTTTATTTTTAAACATAGATTTAAATAATTCTTTTTCAGTCTTTGCATATTATTTGACCCATGTATTTATGGGGTTACATATTTACATAAAGGTAACTTCACAGTAGTCAGCAGAATTGAATATTAAGTCTGTTATTACTATTTACAGCACTGTAGTTAAAATTTGCCAGTGCATTCTGCAGTTTATTAACAGTACTAATTGCACCATTTAAGCTTGCAAAGGACTAGGTTTGAAATATAAAAGTTGCAGAAGAAAGCATTTGTAAGCTACTTCTATAAGACTATCAAGAAAATTGCACGTGATTGTATGAAATCAAAAATTTGCGTGTACCTTGCTTTTTTCCATAAAAATTATGTCTAAACACTTAAAAATGATTCATTGAATTAACTGGGAACCTCACTCAAGTAAGTGAATACATCCTAACTATATATGCAGTGTTTAGAGTTTAAATTTGGAACATTTTAAATACCAAATGTAAACTTTTTTTTGTCTAAGTACGACATTTACCAAATAAAGTTTTTAAAATGAGACAGAAAGACATTACAATTTATGGTCAGTAAAGGAAATTGTAGACTTGAAAATTCACAATACATGTGTTAGACTTCTGGTACAAAGGTACTCTTCAACTTACAATCATTTGTTTAGTGACCATTCAAAGTTACAGTGGCACTGAAAAAAATGACTTATGACTGTTTTTCACATGTCCATTGCAGCATCCCCTGGGTCACATAATCAGGATGGTTGGCAACTGACTTGTATTTATGACGGTTGCAGTGTCCTGGGGTCATGTGATCATCTTTTGCAACTTTCTAACAAGCTAAGTCAATGGGGAAGCCAGATTCTCGTAACAGCTGTGTTACTGATTTAACTGCAGTGATTCACTTAAGAACTGTGACAAGAAAGGTCGTAAATGGGGCAAAACTCATTTAACAACTATCTTGCTTAGCAACAGAAATTTTGTGCTCCATTGTGATAGTAAGTCAAGTACTGTACTACCTGTATATCTAAATTCTAAAGCATTTAAAAAATTGATGCCCTTTTTGTTTAGTTCTGATTATTTTGAGTCTAAAATCCGGAAAGAACTCTGATCTTGTTCAAAAATTTAAGTAACTGTTATACATTACACTGTTTTTCATCTCAGCAATTTAGTTGTATTAAACAAAATGTTATTTTAAATTATGTTGTGAGTTCATATGAACAGTGGAGCTAAACAGAAGACAGAATCACTTTGAGGAGTTCATAATTTTATTGTATTAACGGTATTAAATATTATATACCCTGGGTCGAAAATGTAATTGTGTAAAGCTAAAAGAGTTTTTATTTATAAGGCTAAACTATTATATCTGTTTTTAAAAGTTATAAAACTATCCTTTTTTTATGTGCTTTCGATGAATTGGCTTTAAAGGCACTCTTGAGCTGTCTTGCATAATTGTTTGATTGGTTGTGGTCTAGAGATTTCAGCTCACATTCTCTTATGCCTGTAGTATAAAGGTTTTCTCCTGTTACTGTGGTTTCTGAACAGTCTGAATACAAATGCAGAATAAATAATTACAGGGTTGGAGAACTTGATCCTGTATCATAAGGGAAAGAAGAGAACTACCGTAGTCTTCATTACTGAAAGAGAAATTTCAGTTAAAAGTAAATGTATTCAGTGCATTACTGAAAGAGAAATTTCAGTTAAAAGCAAATGTATTCTATTTTTTTTTAGATTTTTTTTTATTAATTTGTTTTTAAAAAATCTGTTTTTTCTATTCCATTGTTATTTTATATAAAACAATATATTCTAAATACTTTACATTTGCGAATCACAAATTAATACTTGCAAATGGGAACAAATTCATCCCTTTTATGATTAAAGGAATTACTATGGTGATAATTTTTTACCATTTGAATTATTTTATGTACTTTGTAACATGATAACAAGATCACTAAGCACAAATCTGGGCAAGAATGTTCTTCAACTGAAACCTCGAGTACTGTAGGGTAGAAACAGGTCGATCTCCAGCCCAAGCAAATTACATTTGTAGGTTGTTAACACTATATTTTCTATTAAAAAAACCTTTATTTTGGATCGTTTGTGAGAGATTGCAGTTCCTCTTAGCAAAGCACATGTAGATTCAATCAGCAATAACCCCCTAGAATACTTCATTATTGTCCCTGCTGTCTTCTTAACTCTACTGTGAAAGAAAGCAGCGTTTGGGCAACTGCACAGAAAAAACATTCCAAAGAAATGCAGGGCCAAACTGATGAACTTTGCCTTTTCTGCCCTAGAACAAAAAAGGAAAAGTAAGTTTGTCATGGTCCTTTCCTTAAGAGAGAAGATCAAGATACAGCCTCCTAAAATTGCATGGCAGGGCCACCAGGGCAAACTTTCTCTCACTTGATCTTTTTCTTGGAGTACATCTGTATAGAATGCTTGATTGTCTAGCAAAAATTGTAGAATAAACCAGTTTTTCAGTATAATTATACTGGAATGAATAGATTGAAACTTTATCTAGTATATAATGAAGCATGTAGCCCATAAATTAGATTGCTTTACTAGATCAATAAGAGTTATTCTACTACACTGTTACTCTTGTTCTTGAGTTACAGTATTGAACTCTTTATTTTTTAATAATTTAATAAGTGCATTTATGACTGTATGTAAACTGCAACCTGAACTAGTAACTGCATTATTGTAATGTACACGCTTTCCCCCAGAGGTTGTGCTTTTACAGAAAGGTTAAATGTCACATATATGGACAAGGTCAACTTGAGTAAGGATGTATTAAATGTTAGCACTTTATATTGAAAGACAAAGAATCTTATTATTTTCATATCATTAATGAAAACAAATACATTACTAGAGACCTGACTAATAATTGTCATAAGTGAAGGGACAAATGAACCATTAAAGATATTATTAATAGATAATATATGTTAAATGGATATTGCTGTAGATATTAATGTGAATCTATATAGTGCATGTGACAAAACCCTCATAGATTGATTGATGCGATGTGGGGGGAAGAAGAATTGTTTTCAGGCTTGAGCTATTTATATCCACAGAGCCTTAAAGTGATTTTAGTCTCTTCCACTAACTAATGCTAGAAAATTCCTGTTCAGTGGAATGCCTGATAGATTGTTCAGACTTTGTACCTTTTTTCATTCTGTAGACAACTGGCTCTAAAGGCACTGAATGAACGATTGAAGCGTGTGGAAGATCAGTCAGCCTGGCCTAATATGGAGGATGAAGATGAAGAAAATACCAAGGCCGATACTCCCTTGCTATCTGAAAAGAGTCGGGACTCTGCCAGTGTTGGAAAAGCTTCTAGCCAAGAATCCAGCCTCATTACCTTTGAAGATGCCCCCTCTCAGTTGTGACCATGAAGCATTTGCGTCTCCTGCCTGCCCCTGCATATCAGAGCTGCTAATGATCCTTCATCTGCCCTCTCTTGTATCCTAGTGTTTCCTGTTTTGCAGGAACAAAACACTATGCCTCCTAACTACTTCCTCCAGCATTTGTGAGCCACCTGTGGTTTTGCCAGGTCTTAGGACTGTTAATTATCAGACTGACCTGGGAATTTGTTTCATTTCTTCAAAAAGATTTTGAAATTAAGAACTTCTCAGAACTGGCAGGGGAGGAAGGACGTTACAGCTCAATAAGGATTGTCTCCTTAAAAAGACCTATAAAATTTGCCCCAGCCTATAGCTACCATTGTGGCTATTAACACAGTGCTTGTGTTCAGTTCCTTTAATGGCAATCCTGGTTAATCTGAATGGAGTTTTGTATTCTCCAGTCTATTGAATCTGCTCTTCTTTGAGCTCTAAATGCTAAATTATCACATAAACCCAACCAAAATAGCACAGAACAACCCCTTCGAATGTATAGCTTTCTCCTCGATTTCAGTTTTACTTGGTGGCAGTGATTGTTGTCAATGATTATTTGGCTTTTTTCAGAATTAGTTATTGATTAATTAAGCAATTTAATATTGATTAAATAAGCAAAAAAGATCTTTGTTACTCATTTTTATTTCTGTTATCTATGGGTTTCATAGTTTTAAACCCTGCCAAATAAAACTGTTTCCCTCTTGTAGAGGCAGCAGTTAAAGTCTTTTAATAATGCCATTGCTGATTTTTTTTAAAGTGAAAGGATGCAGGCTGCAGCTTGCTTCTAGATTGCCAGTTAATACTTGGATAGAAAACATTGAGACTTTCCATAGGATTCCGAAAGGAAATTAATTTGATTAGTTTTTTCTTCACTTCCATTTACAATTATTCAAAGTGTAAAGAGCTTTTTTTTCTTTAGTGGGGAACCAGTGCATTCAGACACTACTGGGGTAAATTTTTGCCGCAATAGGTTACATGATACTACTACTTTTTTGTTTGCAGGAGACTGACAATTTCTCTGATGCCTAATTTTTCTGTTTGGTGAGATTATTAACCTCTTTTCCTTTGGGCTGAGATATGTGGGGCAACAAGTTCTGAGATTTCTTGCCTAGATAGCCAACTAAAGGTGGAGAAGAACTGGGTTAGGTAGCACTTAAAACAATGGAAAGAGAATATATGAAAATGTTAAGATAATTTTTTAAAGGACCATGATTTTTTTGTCAACTCAACCAAGAAGTAAAACACAGATTTCAGTTTCAATAAAAAGTTCTTTCAAAGAGTGCCTCTTGATTGGCTTTTTAAACCTCCCATCATTTGACCTTGTTAACTCCTATTTGGAAATGAGCTCACAAAATCATTTTCACTGCAGTCAATATTGTTAACATGAGATGTTAAAATACAATAACAAATGTTTGTGAAGTCTTTACATGCAAACTCCTGAATGTTAGAGCCTTGCTTCTTTTTCAGAATTATGCCCAGTGCGATTAAGATGATGTATATCCCTTTTCACTTTCTCATCCCATTTCACTACAGAAACCCTGCATAATAATCACTGTCCATTTTGAACCTGAAAGCTTGAGTAAAAAACAACCATGATACCTTAAAGTTCAGTGTTTCCTAATTGTTTGCTTATCTGATCTTTAAAATTTCCAGGGTTGAATACATATCTACTTCTTAGGTCTTAAACTTAATGCTTCTTTACCCAATATGAATTTCTTATGTGCACCACTAAGAAAACCCCACTGATGAGTTGCAATCATTGTGTACTTGTTCTAAAAATAAAAAGAAGAAAGAATTATATTGTCCTTAACAGATTTGAAATACTTCCTTGTTTTCCTTCCACTGAATGTAAAAAATAATCTGCATGGAATGATGTCTGTGGAAGAAATTCACTTTGTACAATGCATTCCTTGTAATAGCTGTATTAGAAATGATGCCAATTAAGATAGGGTGATCACCATAAAGCCGTGTTGATATGATCATGCTTTAAGGTTAGAAATGAGGAAGAAATTTGCCAACTTTTTGGTGGAAAAGTAGTTCTCAGAGTCAGAACTATAATGGATTTATTAGTAGGTTGGGTAAAATATTTAGTCCTGTTAACATGCATTCCTCCTATATTCATTACATATTCAGACTTTGCAGCTCAACAAATGGCTTGCCTCTTTGGATTGATTCATGTTGCGTAGTGGCCTGGTTAGAGCGTGGAGAAGGTAGTCTTCTGAGATTTAAAGAGGAATCTTGAGCATCTTTTGCACCTTAGCTTGATATTCTGGAAAGGGATCCCAAGATCAAGCCTTTTTTTTTCTGTTGGTTTAGGATGTGAGGGGAGGGGGTGGGATACGACATCATCTATTTCCAATTTACAACACAGTCCTTTCAGCAGTTCCAAGAAGACTCCACAGCCATTTACACTAGTCAGGTGACCCTGATGACACGGATAAACCTCCAGGCGGCATTAATGACTCTCTAAAAGAATGCAAAGGACCAGCTGTCTGCAAGGAGTATAAATTCTTCCATTCCCCACCATCCAGTCAGCTGGAGAAGCTTCTTGGATGAGAAGTGAAACATCTTCCAAGAAAAATAAGAATCCATTTGCTTCATGAAAAATCATCTTTGGGATAATTGCTTGTTTTTTTCATCCTTCTCTATCTTACTTGGTTCTGGATAATTCCTGGTGGAATGTGGCTGTGGGTTTGTGAGCTATTCCTATTCCTAGGGTTGGAGAATTCTGGCTGTCATTTCCAACATTCCTTTTGTGTATGGAAAGCTTAGCTTTTGTGTGGTGGTTGGCTGTGTGGTGCATTGTGGTTTGGGTGCTGTGTGTCTGAATACAAGTTTTCAGATAGCTTTTGCAGCGAAAGATGTCAATCAGCTGTTTCTCTTTTGTGCTGCAGTATGTCCTGGCTGTTATAAAGAGTGTCTGGATGCAGATTTTTTTGTGTGCGGTGGGATGATTGTGCAGCTGAGGATCTGGTCTGAGTGGGTTTGCGATTGTCAATGTTAAGGAATGGAAGTGTTTTGTCTGTTTCCTCTTCACATGTGAATTTGATCCTGGGGAATGTGTTGTTGTGTAGGTGGTGTGTTTTTTCAATTTGGGAGCATTTGATGATGACAAAGATGTCATCAATGTAGTGTGTCCAGAATTTTGGTTGGATAGTGGATAGGACTATGGCTTTGAGTTGTTGCATGACTGCTTCTGCTATTAGACCTGATATGGGTGATCCCATTGGGGTGCCTTGAACTTGAAATATTAAGGCATAGGTCCAGGAGTTTCACAGAGTCTTCTGTGGCAGCACCATCTTTATGGGTACGGTATTTAATGAGTTGATGGTGTATGGTTTACTTAGCCAGGTCAATTGAGGTGAAGAGTGTGGTGACAACATTCTTGCAATAGTCCAATGCAGATATAAATCAAGTCAGATCACTTTCACCACCAAGGGGAAAAAACCAGGAGGCAACAATGATTTGATGGCATACACTCACATAAATTAGAAGTACTCCCACTGTTTTGTAAGGTATTTTGGTAGTAACAACTATTGAGAAAATCTAGTAAACTGAACAGATACCTATTTTGTCACTTAGTTGTTATGCTGCCTATAAAAGGAAATAAGATTTTTGATCTAGAATGTAACTTCCTGTATCCATTTTCAGGTCATTTCTTTGCATAACTGCTTTTTCGATGAAGTTTTTAAGGGCTTATTTGAGGAGCCTTATTATTAGCATTAGATTTGTTATGAAAGCTAGTCACCAATTCTTAGTCTTGAATTGCAGTCATGGCTGTTTATCATCATACCTCTTTCACAAGTTTTACATATTTCACAGTATGGAAAAAGGAAAAATGTCACCTATTAAGATTTTACCATCTTCTCATCATCTTTACTTGCCAGTATAGTTCACACTGACATCACTTCTCTACGGTTGGGCTTCATATACTGTACATACCGTAATTGGCTGCGTTCTTTATTTTCAGTAATTCAATAACATTTTTAATTAGCCAGATAGATTTTTTTTAGATGTCTCCCATTTATCATTGGAAATTATGATTGTGCCATTTATAACCTTCCCAGGAATTTCCCGTTATCTTGAGTTTCTTTTCCTAATATACCTAGCCATAGAACATTAACACCTCCTTGATTTTATTAATATTAACTTTCCTGAATTTTGGAATACATTACGCTCATGACTAGCTTTTCATAGGTTGAATTCCAGCATATCATTATCTCTCAGGTTCCTACTGTATACTAATTTTATTAGTCAATTCTGCTGCATTGGCTGAGATCAGATTAATTCCCTCATTCCATATATGCATTCTGAAAGACAATATTTTCAGCAATGCATTTGGGGAATTAGTTTCCATGACAGGGAGGTTTGTGTTTCTTAAACATCTGTATTTTTGTATTCTCCCCTTATGTCCTATTATTTCAATGATTTTGCCACTGCACTTTTCCATTTTACTTCATCAACATTTAGTTTACTGAGTTACTTAAACTGTTAATGAAAACAGAAATCAGGACAGAAAACAATATTCCAGAGATGTCAGCAGGAACAGAGTGGTGTATATAGATGAAGACATTGGATAAGTTTTAAAATACTAAGCCATGGTGTGAATGAAGTAAAACTTTGTTAGTTGAAGACATCAGTATAAAATGTATATAGTATTTTTATATATTGTAAAATAGAAAATTCTTGATAATTGCCAGCTCTGCTTCTGCTTACGATTCAAATGAACATCAGGAGTTGATATGTGAATTCATACACAGGCTCAGATGAACAGATTCTAATTCTAGTCATAGCTAATTTGGCTGCAATATTAAATTATTGCTCAGTGACTTGAAAATGACTATTCTTAAAATATTGCGGCCATAATGAATAATGGTCTTCTGAAACACAGGCAGAAGTTTTAATAGGGAATAAGGTTAATAGAAATATCTGAAGTTGTTATGCTTTCACAAAATTTAAAGCTATCATTCCAATGACTTCTGTATCACTGAACAATGCAAAATCTATCTGAAGGAAGCAAAAACAAACATGATGGCAGTACGTCACAGTTGCTGCATTAAAAAAAAAAATCTTTATTTCAGCACTCATAAGTACAAGCTTCTTTTCCCCACCCCCAAGTTTCAGTGGTACATTTATTTGCTACACAGTTTGTTGGCATATATTTTGTTTTGTTTTCAGATAACAAATATTACCTATGTTCCTTCTTATCAAGGCAGCAGTCATTACTTCATCAGTTTAATAGGTAAACACTGGTCAAAAAAGTAGTATTAGAACCAGTTATAAACTATTCATGGATGTTATCAATGGAGGGATTAATCTTCCCTATGCTTTCAGTGCAAATACAAACTTTTTAAGCCTAATGTATGTTTTTTTAACTATAATACTGTATGGTAAAATATATGTTGGAACACGAGCAGCAACAGATATCTAAACTATGTACCACTGGAAATATAGACATTTAGTTACTGATTGAAGAGCATATCTCATACTCATTACACAATGCCTTGTAGTAAGATCTTAACAAAATCATCAATCTTTGTTCCTGCCTTTGTAATAGATAATTAAATTTTAAAAATAGGACAGGAGGGGAATGCAATCAAAGCTTACATTGCAACTAAAGTTACCTGTGGCCATCTGTCTCTGAAAACTATAGGACTTATGTTAGTCTGTTTCATTGACTGCAACATGAGTGTCTTTAAATACATCTGTGATACAATATTATTTCCTCATTAAACTTTTCTGTGATCACTTTTCTCCCTCTTTGGAAAGCAGGTGTTATCCCTTCTCAATAGTAGAAAACAAAGATATATTTAAGGAGCTCCTGGAAGTAACATAAGCAGGAATTATGGTTACCGAAAGTGCTTTAACATTAACAAAATGTTTGTTAACAAACAAAACCCATTATAATAGGTAAATTGTTGCTAAAATAAGATAAAAAAATAAGCAATTAGGATTGTTCCCCATCTCGGAAAGCAAAGGAAAAAGCACAATCCTTTTTTAAGTTCTTGAAGAATCTCAGCATGCTTGGGAAGTGCTTTGATCTAAGAATTAAAGATACATGAAAATGCTGATTATGCACATGTATTTAAGCACATATGAGATTTTCTCAAGCTCTGCTTGCATATCTCATTTTTGTGAAAGAACTGTTTATATGAAACAACTTCAAGTCTGGAGAAATGAGAGGATTTCCTTGTCAATCAATTTCTGTCTGTAATTGCAGGATTACACTATCTAGTACTGTTATTCTTTACTACTCAATTATTGAAACATTTGGGTCAAAAGTATACTTTGCCTGATTTACAGAGCAAGGATAATAAGCCTTTTTTTTCTTTACAAGTCTAAAAGATAAGGTTTACAGTCACTTGTGACAGATTCTCCAACTATTTTCCTGTTGAGTTTTGGGACTAGTTTTTATCACTCCAAGCTATCCCCCATTTGCTGTAAAACCCCACTTTCGAGAACAGGAGACTATATAATACAGCATGAGAAGGAAGTTCAGGAGTTAAATATTGTGGAAACTCAAGAGGAGAGTTACTTGTTTTTACCTTTTGTGGTTTAAAAAGGAATTAATATTTCATTATTACAATGCCATTGGATTATCAGTAACCTGAAACAGCACACTTTGTTAGCCATTATGCTAGTGCTGTGGGATAGGTTCATCTATTCTGCTAAATTTTGGTTTCTTTTAACCATAATTTGTTGAATAAACTATGGTGGCCGGGTTCATAAAGATACTATAATGATATAATTAACATAATCTTAAGTCAAAAATAAAAACCAATCACGTTGTAATTTAGTTTTAACT